AAATTTGTGTCCTGGGCTTTTTAGACTCGTCTACCCAAGTACTATCTGAATCCAAAGGGGCACATTGGTTGCCAGATGTGAAACATCTTGGCATTCTTTTCAGCTCTCCTACTCCACGATGGTCTACACTGAGGGCTCATTCACACTTCCACTTCTCCCATGCCTAGAAAGGAAGGGTCTGGGCAGTTTCTGCTCGACCCATGCTTAGGAAGTGGTCTGAGTGGTTTTCCCCAGGCCCTGCTCCTCTCCCAGGGAAAATCCGCCCTTTAATGTTAATCCAGAGATCACTCAAATTGCTCTTTGCTCCAACTGAGTGCCATAGAGTGGGTTTTCCCACAGAAAAGCAGCAGGAGAAGAGGAAGTGTGGATAAGCCTTGATTAGATCAGCAGAATTTCATAGGTCATTCCCAGCCATACCTGGAGATGCCAGAGACTGAACCTGAGACCTTCTACAAGCAAGGTGGATGGTCTACCACTGAGCTATGGTTGTTCCCCATAGAAGAATAGGTGCTTCTATGTGCCAATGGGCACCAATATGAATGTGTGAACTTTAAAGGAAGTTCTCTGGTTTGAGAGAAGTCTTGCTTCTCAGTGTACACATGTTTTCGTGTCCTAAGTTTTGAAACACTGCAACCTGTTTGCCAGACATGTAAGCAGTATACACATCACCGCTCTGCTCACCAAGCCCCCTGTGTAATCCCCCCATTAAGCCCTTCCTATGTCATGCAATTACTCAGCTGGCTTTTCACCTTCCCAAGCCTATTTCTAAACCCACTCTTCTCTCGTATTCTGCGGCCCTGCTATGCACCAGTTTTCACCTTCATCCCCATGTCCATGCCTCCTCCTCCCACTCCTTTTGTGCAACCCCTCTTCCACACACACCTACAACCTTGTGCTGCAACTATGAAGCACCCTTTTCCCCTTCTGCCCAATGATGAAGCCACCATTCTCTCCAATTCTGCAGACCCTTTCATATCCCTCCTTTCATCCCCAATACCATTCCCATGCCTCCCACTCCCTCCTTTTTTGCAAACACCTCTGTGCCACCATTTTCATCTTTATCTCCTCCTTTTTCTTAGTCCCTTCTCCTTATTTTTCTCAACTCTCCTCAACTCACACACCCATTTCACACACTTGTTCATCACCTCCTTAGCACAATCTGAGCTGGCAACAAACAGTACCACACTGCAGCCAGGATGGGTGTGTGAATTGGCACCCTCTTTTCTTCATTCTTTATACCCAGAGAACCTGCCTATGGTGGGGCCTTTATTTTCTAACCTTCCCTTCAAAAAAACTCCCAACATTTGCCATGTAAAACCAAACCAGACAACTATGCAAATTAAATGCATTGACTGAAATATTTTATGCCAGGATGCATGTGTTCTGCTAGCCGACATGCTCCACCCTGTGTGCCCCAAATCTGCTCTGCTGTCACTATTCCCTTCCTCCATGCCATATACACACCAGAATATAGAGAGGTCCGATGTCTCGACCATCAAGTCCTCCACAGAGTCCAGCATCTTAGTGTGAAAGACGATGAGATTCATCACCTTGGCAATGTCATGATTCTCCCGCAGTTGCAAGGGAGCCTTACTAACGCTGGTGTATGCCTAGTGGAAGGGGAAAAAAGATATTCCTTGGGAGAAAGAACCCACGCTCTCTGACACTTCACCCTAAACACTGAGAGTAGCACATTGCTGTTGTTGGTATCCCTCTGTCTCGAGACAATGGGGTGTTTTTAGGAGCGAAGCCAAACTGCTGGAGAATCACAGCACCTGCTGTGGCTGTAGAGACCAGCAACCTGTAATTGCTGCCTTCCACATTACTTTTGCTGTGTTAGCAACACTGAACTGACCTTTCCAGGGTGCAAGCCTGGGCAGCGTGTGTAGAGGTCCTGGACTGCCCAGACAACAAGACCTCTTGGCCCTACTGATACAGTCCAAAGGAAAGCAGAGTAGCACATTTGGTACCAGCTGGACTGTAGGAGTTGCTGGAAGGAGGCAGACAAAAGGCCATCCAAACATCTTAGGGACTCAAGATTTGTGTAGTTTACTCCTTAGTCTTTGCTTCTCCCAAGCATGTCCCACAAGGCAGTGGGTACGGATTTTTCCTTGGGGAATCTTCTTGCAGGATTTTTCCTTGGGGCTTACCCCCGAAGCCTTTCTCATGAATGAGGATAGCCGCTGGGCAGCAGAGGTTTAGGATCAGAGTTGTTCTTCTCCTGGATGGGCTACCTTCCCAGGTTGACAAGCCCCAACAGCAAGATTGCTCTAAATTACAGAGTGACAGGGCCAATTCACATACACATGTCCATAATTTGATCACACACTTGACTCTTCTCAACCGAACATGTGACTGTCTCAAATGAGCAATATTACATTTTGAGCGTTAATCAAAAAACAGTAAAATTGTACATGCAGTAATTAATCTGTGATGGCTCATTTACACACACACGCTAACGCTACTCAGTCATTATGGAATATGCAGGTTCAGACCTCAGGAATGTGGAATCTACTTTTGTTATTTACTAGAGCCTTGAGATCCACCAACAAGAGGCAGGTCCAAAACAGCGACTTAGCCAGGCAAGCACATGTTAAGTGTTAAAGAACGGGATGCCTCTGAGCCCATGCTCATCCCAGGAATTTGTGATCAGTTCCCCAACCAAGCTGACAAGTGCTATGCAGGGGACTCCCCACTTACATGGAGGCTTCTGCATACATAAGTGGAACCATGTCAAGTGGGGAGCACCCTCTACACATCCTCTCTGCCGCTCTTTCTCCAATACATACCAAAAATACTGCATCCCAAAATATCCACAACTAGAACTGGAGCTCTGGGGCCGGCAGGAGGCTGGTGGACATGCAGGAACGCAGTGGCGGCTGCGCTGCCCTGCACACCAGTTGTCAGGCAGGGAGGCTGGGCAGCCTGAGCAAAGCCCCGCTGCGCCCCCAGTCTCTTCAGGGCTTCTTCCAGCCTCACTGACATCCTCTTTGGGCCTCGGGGTGGGTCTCCTCGTAAGTTATGAGGACTCTCCAGCTTTCTCCCACCATTTTCGGTTTGAATTGAATTATTTATTTCCCGGTGCCGCACATTCCTTTGACTGCACGTAAGTGGAGGGGCACCTGAACTGTACTGTACCACTCCTTTGGATATCCCCCAAAGCATTATTATTATTTTTTTGGCAACTGAATTTAGGAAAGACTGGAGGTTTTTTAATTGTTGCCACTGTTAAGACAATGGCAGAAGTCAGAAAGCCAATCCACTACCATAGATGTACCAGATAAATCAGAATACACAAACAGAGAGAGAAACAGACAGACAGAACTTTAGCTAAAGCATCAAGAAATGCTTCTTGATGACAGGAACAGCATTTGTCAATAGAAAGGCCACCTGAGCTCTTCAAACAAAGGCTGGGCAGCCTTGATGCACCTAACAGGGATGTATATTGAAGCTGGCAAAGGCTGAAGGGCCAACAACTTAGACTTTGCATGGTTACATGTCTTCCTCTTTACACAGGCCTTTGGCCATTAAATAATCTATGGCCTGTTAGATGGGGGGGGCTGTTATTTGGATTGTTATTATTATGCTATCTATTATTATGCTCTGTATTACTTTTTTAAAAATGCTCTGTAAATTATGTTCTTAATGCTCTACACTGCCCTGGCTTCTTTAGATAAAGGGTGGTATATAAATCAATCAATCAATCAATCAAATAAATAAATAAATATAAAATTATGTATTTCCAGGCTAGCAGCACAGGCAAAAGACTCTTTAGCCCCTACTTACTCAGTGTGCGAACTGCAACACAGGGTTTGTCATGTCAGAGTGATTCACAGTTATACCTCATTCAGAGCCCTCCCACATGAGAGCAGCCTGGCTCCATGGGGCATCTGCAGTCTCCCAGCACCAACAACAGATAAAGCAGGAAAAGGTTTAAATACATGGGGAAGGAGGAGACTTGGGCAGCTTGTTTTGTCTGTTGTTTACCTCTTCATACCTCTCTCCTTAAGCAGCTAATTTTCCCTGCTTCTCCTCCTCCCAACTTCTAGGAAAAAATAGATTTCAAATGGGGATAACCAAGACCAGCCAGCACTCCCCTATGTGTTTGACTGTGATCCCCTCCAGATGCCCCAGCCCCTCGGCCAAGCAGGCAGCATGCTAAGTCCTAAGAGGCAGCAAGGTCTCCCACTGCACAGGACACACAGGTCTCCACCGGCATGTTGCTGGGGCAGAAGAGGAAGGGGAGCAAATCCTGGCAAAGAATCTTACCTGCAGCCTGAACCAGTCCAGCCGCAGCCCAGAAAATTCAAATTTCTTCTTCTCCTCAACTGCAAAGAAGAAAAGTATTTAACAGAGGCAAAGCTGCTAGAAAGAGCCACAGGGGTCTCTCCCACAATTCAAAGGCCTTACAGATGAGAAAATTTAGGATGAAATGCAGTGGGAAGACAGGCCTCCTCCTAGAAAAATGATTTGCCTTCTAACAGCCCTGTCTAAAGGAGTTTATAAGGAGTTTAAGTACCATCCCTTTGTTCTGGGATGCAGTGGGTTCCGTTTTTACTTGCACCTACAACCTGTCCTTATGGGACGCAGGTGGTGCTGTGGTTTAAACCACAGAGCCTCTAAGGCTTGCTGATCGGAAGGTCGGTGGTTCGAATCCCCGCGACGGGGTGAGCTCCCGTTGCTCAGTCCCTGCTCCTGCCCACCTAGCAGTTCGAAAGCACGTCAAAGTGCAAGTAGATAAATAGATACCACTCCGGTGGGAAGGTAAACAGCGTTTCTGTGCGCTGCTCTGGTTCGCCATAAGTGGCTTAGTCTTGCTGGCCACATGGCCCGGAAGCTGTCTGCAAATGCCGGCTCCCCCGGCCTGTAGAGCGAGATGAGTGCTGCAACCCGTGTCATCCATGACTGGACCTAACGGTCAGGGGTCCCCTTTACCTTTTACAACTTGTCCTTACACCAAACGCCAACAGCTTTGCTCTAGGCATCAGGACCCTGTCAACTCCTCGTTAGTATAGTGGTAAGTATCCCTGCTTGTCACACGGGAGACCAGGGTTTAATCCCCAATGGGGAGACCACTGACCTTTATGACTCATCAGGACCCTGTCAAATCCACACATAGCCTTGAATGTGGGTCAGCCTCTGGGGTCAACTCTCAGAAGCCAAAGCCGGCAGAGCTTCCTTCAGCCAGAAAGATTTTCCCCACCCCACTGCTAACACAAGCAGGATTCAAAAAACCCACACAAATTATGCACAACTTGCCAAATATATTCCAATCACAAAGCCTAACCCTCCCTTGGCACTCAATTTGAGTTACTCTTGTACAGGAAGGGTTAAAATGCCCACATCCATCCATAGCAACCTCCAGCTGACACAATAATTACCTTGCTTGATGGTTAGGGATGAGAGTGAGTTCACAAAGGATGACATAATCACAGACTCCTCTTCAGGGCACACGGTCAGGTCCTGCAAGAGGCAATAGGGCTCAAAGACGAGGCTAGTGCTTTATTTGCATTTATATACAGTAGCTTGTTTGCAATGGATTTCAGTGAATGTGATTATTTAATGAATTGATGTGCCAGTTTTAAACCTGTACATCCCTTGAGTGTCTTTGGGCAGTGAGGCTACTCATAAGCTCAAGAAATGATGGCCTCAGGACAAGGATATAATCCCAGAGTGCCCCCTTTGTTCTCTTGTATAATTTCTGGCTTGTGAATTGTGGGGAGGCCTGGGATGTTTTGTCTCCGTAGGCAAAAACGTGTTGCCCCCACCCCCAGCAGATCTGGTACCTCTCCCTGCCCCACCGTTGTGTCCACACTGCCACCATGACGCAATGGCAGGGGTGAGGGCGTGTTAGTGCTGAGGGCAAGGGCACTGTGGTGGCAGCAACAGTGGCACAGGTGAAGCTGTGGCACGGCTGTTAGTGGTGCAACAGCAGGAGCAGGGGTTGCACTGTCCACCCAGGGCAAATGGCTTCACCCTACTTCATGCGAGCACCCGCCTTGTGAACAGGATTCTGTTCTACAGCATCACAGCAGACTGTGTCAAGCTGCTTTATACCATGCCAGCCTGTTGGTCCATTTCAGCCTTGCCCAGCCTGATGCCCTCCATAATAGATGTTCTTGGACTATAACACCCATCATCGCTGAAGGGAGCTGTAATTCAAAATATCTGTAGGGGACTGGGTTGAGAAAAGCTGCTCTTTTTGCATTGTGAAGGTTCGACTAGATGAGGCTTTTGGACCCTTCCAACTCTACCATTCTTAGATTTGTCGACTCTCACTAGCAGTCTGCTCTATTATCTGCGATCTGGGAACCTGGAGATTGCCAGAACTATTTGCATGCAAAGCATGCACCCCAACACTGATATATGCCTAATTTGTAGCATTTTTATCATTCTCTGTCCATTCTCTCCTTTCTCACATCTGTTTGGTACTAAGGAATCTCACTGGAATTGGGAGCTCCTAGAGACTGCCACCCATAATCCCACCAACCACACGTCTTCCTCCTTCCTTGCAGCTCCCATACCTGGATAATGTTGCTGAGCACCTGGGCATCGAAGTGCGACAAGTACTGCACATGGTAGCGCTGGAGGATATTTTGGTGCCGTCGGACGAGGCGACGGAGCTTTTCCATCAGAAACAGCAGCTCAGCCAGGTAGCTATTGTTGAGAGGCAGGACAGAACATTTGTTGGCTTATTTAAAACATTTGGAACCCCACCTTTCCTTATAAAAAGGCAGCTGACGAATTTTAAAAAAATGAACACAAAAAATAGTGGGGCGAGGAAGAACACACAGTCCCACAGTACACCTACAGAATCATTTCAGCAGATTAATAAACCAATACAATAAATAAAGCAGCCAACTACAACCCAAATGCCTTCTTAAAAAAGGAGATTAAGACTAACTTTCAGAATGCCATTGAAGGGGGGATAGATGAGACTTTGGATGAAATATAAGGAGAGGATAGCTCAGTTGGTTAAGAGTGTGGTGCTGGTAAGGGCAGTGTTGCAGGTTTGATCTCTGTATGGGCAGCGGCATAATCCTGCATTGCAGGGAGTTAGACTCAATGATCCCCAGGGTCCCTTCCAACTCAACAATTTTGTGATTCTATGAACTAGGTGTCCTAGTATGCTGCATGTGTGAGGTTCCCTTGGCTGTTAACACCTACAAAGACACACCTCTGACCTGCCAGCCTGGATACAATACTCCCCAAGTTCATGCCAGAGGAATTTTACCTAATTCCGACAAGCATTAGCTTCTTCCCTTCCCTCCATTCTCACATGGCACTGCCCCAAAATGTGAGACCAAGGAGAACTGTTGCAATCCCCCCTTCTAGCCAGCTCTTAGGGGCACAGAAGCTGCATCCTCCTTTTCACGGGTTCACTCTGCGCTACATGGTCAAGAACTGGAGAGGGGGCAAGATCCATCTGTGCTCAACATGCTGGCATCCATCTCCTCCACCCCATCTTCAAGCCACACCCCCATTCTTGGAAACCACCCGATCAGTACATGTCATAAAAAGATTTGTGGGAAAGAAAAAACATCACACAAAGAGACATTTCAGGGGCAGGAAAATTGGACTCTAATTCAAATTAATATCGGAATGTAATTATGATTTGTGTATTGGTTTTGTGTTTCAGGGTCACGTGTATATATGACGATTATTCATAAATAGTTTAAGCAAAAAAACCACCCAAATCAGTACCTGTCAGTGAATTCCTCTGGGTACTTGCTCTTGCTAACATGTTCACTGTGTCGGCAAAGCCAGGTTACCTCATCACGGCAGAACGACAAGGCCATGAAGACATAAACAGCCTGTTGTGGGGGGGGGAAAGGGAGAAGGGACTTTATGAGAAAAATATTCCCTCCCTTCAAATCAGTAAGGCCAACTCAAGAAAGGGATGTTCAATATGGCCCAACACTGCACATTAACTTTTTAAAAAGCTATTCTGTTCTACTTAGCCGATGTCCTTGAATTGTGTATTGTATAATGAGAAGCCTAAAACGGGGGCGGGGGGGCGGGGGGGGAGATCCATCATGCAAATTAATGACATTTGTTGATTGCAGCTTGTTCTGGCTTACGTTTTCCTGTGCTTCAAATTTTCCTTTTGCTACTGTAGTGATGAAGGAGAAAGGGAACATGGAATAGGAGAGACCTGAGAGGACCATCAATATGCAAAGATGAGAAAAGCAGAAGGGTAAAAACTGGAAACATAAATACCTATGCATGGAATAGATCTACATAGATCTATAAATACATAAGTGTTCCTATACAGGATTTCTTTCCTCACACACGCAACACACACATACCGTCCTGGAAACTCTCAGTGCCATTTTCCCTCAAGCTCTGCCTGACTGGAAGAAAACCTGCTGGAAGGAAGAGAAGCAGGGGGGAGGGGCGCTGCCTTGGCCATCTAAATCGCACTTTTCCTTTTACTCATGACTGGAGCAGCCGGTGGTTAAAAGATGCAACCCGCTGCATATAGTTTGGCTTGTAGTGACTGCTGTAGATGCCCTTGGGACTGCTCAGATACATTATAAAGATAAAGCAACCAGGAAAGCTGGAAATATGATGGTTTGTTTTTAGTAAAAGCTTTGATTCTCAAGAGGCAGAAACTACATGAATTTCGGGATAAAAACAGGCACTGCTTTTTGGACAACCCTTCCTGCCCTACCCCTTTCTACTGTGGTTTTGTATGATGTCAAAAAATAAGCCACTATAGGTAAGGACCACATTCGTATCAAGTCAGACTCAAATACAAGGTCAACACAGCATTTGGCAGCAACATGGGGTAAAGGGTCCTCAGTGCTGGTGCCCCAGTTTTGGGACAGTTTCCCTGCTATGACAGGGGTCAAGACTGATGAGTTGTCAGTGTCAGCTGAAGACTTGGCTGTTCACCCAGGCTTTGCTGGATTTTAACGTCAGGTGCATGGTTGTGATTATTCAGATTGAAATTCACCTTCTTCTGGTTCTGCACTGTTTTTACGCTGTGGTTTTATGTTAACATTTCATTATTTTGATTTGAAAATCGATCTATAATTGCTTGTTTTCAATTAACAGGTAATAAATATGTATACTGTCAGGGAACTGCCATCAGTACTGGAGGGGGAGCGCAAAAGCCAGAGGGATTCCAGAGAGCGTCCAGGGATCGGGAGAAGCAGCCCATCTTCTGGGGAGGAGAATCAGTGTAGCACCAGTGGAGAAGGGGGGCTGGTGGGGGAAGTGGCGAGGCGATCCCATGACTCCTTGCTTGGGACCAGCGGAGAGACTAGAGGTCCTCCGTTGCCCACGCCCTCCCTGCGCGGGAGGCTTTCACACAGAGAGGGTAGGCGGAGACTAGGCGTCAAAGAGCTTCTTTGCTGAAAAAAGTTTAAGAAACGCCCACTCACAGATTCTGCCAGCGATTGAGTCAGCCACGGGCGAGTGGCTGTCCAGACAGAGGAGGTTCACTTTGGGAGCCCAGCCAGGTGTTTGCACCCAGCCAGGAAGATAGGCACCTGCTTACGCACGAGCAACCCCCTTAGGAACCATTACATATCCACACCCTTACATTTGGCTTCCTCTTCCCAGGCACACTTACACAGGCAAATGCATAGAGGTGCGCGCGCGCACACACACACACATGTGTGTTTGCCCACTTGCCCAACTCAAACACATCATGCATGCAAGACTGTCTTCTCCCACATTCCCAGCTCTTGTCTACTTGCCTTTGGCCCCAAAAGCCCTGGCTCATTGGCCAGAATGGTCTCCATCTCCCGTACAGCATTCCTCAGGAAATGGCGCCGACCTCGATGCAGCTGCCCACTGTCAAGACACCGCTGGAAGGTTCATACATGAAGATGACAGCTGCCCCATGCCCCATCTGACACACCACAAGCAGCAGCAAATGACAACGCCCAGCTACTCAGTCAAGGTACATAGTACCCAAAGCTGGTCAAGTTATTTTGGAACTAGAGGCAGAAAATTGCAATAAAAGCACCATCATCTATTAAATGACAAACAATTGGATGCCCTCGCATGAGGCCTAGAATTGTCCACCAAATGCTCAGGCTGGGCAGACTCCTAGATGTGCTGTGCAACAGATGAGGGAGCAGGTGGATGGCAGGACCTCAGAGGGAACATGCAGGAGGAGCTGCAGAAAAGTGGGGCTACCTTTCCCCCTTCTCCAAAGGAGATTTATGGTGCAATCCTTTACATGTCTATTCAGGAATTAGTCCCACTAACTTCAGTGGGGCTTCAAAGTGGGAGCAAGTGCATACGACAGTGATGGCTAACCCCTGTTTTGGAAGTCTGATCCAGTCCTCTAAGCAGATTTTACAAGGCCTCCAAGAACCGACTGATTTTGGTAGTGGTGGCAGAAACATATATAACAAAGCAGACACAGCTAGAGGGTGGGCAGAGTTCAGTTTTTCCAATGGGGAGTCAAAGTGTCCCCTTCCTGGCCACTAGACCCATCACTGGATGAGGTGAGCAGACAGGGAGCTTGTGTCTTAACAGCTTCTTTGCACAGATAGCTAATGAGGTCAAGTGTCTGTGTGTGCCTGAGCGTGTGGGATGGATACACCCAGTTTTAGCCACCCCTGTCCCTGGCCTGCTCCCCCACCCAGAAGGTTGGCCATGGCTGAAAGCAGCGAGATGCCAAAAAGGGTTAGTAACCCCTGATGTACAGGACCACAGACTAGTTTATAAGGCAAATGGTGGCAACTTCAGTAACAAAGGGCAGCTGGTGGAATACAATGAAGAAATAGGGATGATGGGGACATCGGTCAAATGGGGCTGAGAAGCAAATTTCAGACATGAGGGGAAAGGTAAAACTAGTGAGGCAAAGTATTAAGCAGAAGAGATCTGGTTATCTACTAGGAAAACCCTGGAGCAGACAATGTGCAGACTTAGGCAGTAGCACGGCAGACAAAGCAATGAGCAAGAATGAAAGAGGGTCGTTCCTACCTGTTTGCTACAGCGTGCTCTTTGCATTCTTTGATATCAGCTATGCGTTTTCCATAACTGTGCAGAGAGAGAGAGAGACACTGAGATCACAGCCAACCCCCTCCAAAACATTATGTTGTGTTCTGTTGCTTCGTCCATCCAAGCAGAGCCAACTTTGTGCAAGGACAAGTTTTCTAAAAAATTGAATGATTTTTAAAATCCAGGGCCACACTGGCAAACCCTTCACTTTAAAATGGCTACACCAAAGCTTTCTTGTCTCTTGTGATGTTTTCCAGGACAAGCTACAGCTCAGGAGCAGAGAACATACTGTACATGCAGAAGGTCAAAAGTTCAATCCAGGGCATTTGCAGATAAAGATGTCAGGAAGAAAGTATGGGAAAGGCCTGCATTTGACTCTCTGGACAGCAACTGCCAGTCACAATCAGCAGTACTGGCCGTGAAGGACAGAAGGTGTGACTCAGTGGATGGCAGTTTCATGTATACAGAGGGTGAACAAATACAAAACAGGAGGATGCTCCCACTCATAAGCACATTTATAACTTGCCTTTCCTCCAAGGAGCTCAAGGTGGTATGCACAGTCCTTCATCAACCCTCACCCCCATTTTATCCTCACAACAACCCTGTGAGGTAGGTGAGTCTAAGAGTTGGCAATTTACCCAAGCCTCACCCAAGCGAGCTTCATAGTCAAGTGGGAATTTGGATCCAGGTCTTCCCAGTCATAGTCTTCACAACTGTACCACTCCTGTGCTACTAACATTAGTGTAAAAGAGGGGATTCAAACCTGCCAAAATTTGCCTGTTGGTCTATCTCATCTCTACAGGTCTCTTACCCTTTGATGCTGCTGAAGGCCTCCTCCGCCACTTTGTGAATAGAAAGCACTTCATCCCGTACTAGAGCAATGTAGAGAGAGCCACGGAGAGCTGCCCGCCACAGATCCAGACAGCTTTGGGTAGAGCCCAGGCAGCTGTGGCACAGCAAGAACCCAACTGCAGGGGTAGAAGATGGTCAAAGGCAAGGATAAGGAAGCAATGGACACCGACCCTCCCTGCTCCGTACAGCAGCTAGCCCCTCCCTGCCACCCACTTCCAGGAGCAAAATGAATTGTGCAAATCAAGCAAATGCATTACAAACCATAGCGTTTCTTGCCCTAGAATTTACCTGGGTGCTAAGTTTGTGAGGCAGGGGGTGGGGAACCCAGAGCGCAAGCATATGTCTGCCTATGCCCACTGCGGCCAATGGAGATGATCTTGGACAATTTCTGCACCTTTTGGCTATGATTATCCAGTTCTGGATAAGATTTCTTGCTATACTGAGTCAAGGTTCCAGGTTGACCATCCAGCCTGGATCCTCCCCAGCCTACCAGATCAGCAAAGAACAATGTGTCGACTTACTCACAATCCATCGCTCAAGAACCTCCAGAGAAAGGTATTCACAGGCCATCTGGGAACAGGAAAGAAATATGAGTTTTCTGCCTACAGAAATCTGGTATCATCATCTTCCTTCCTAAATACTCAGTGCCTCTACTAAGGTTTTTTAATGTGTGCAGCATAATTTTCTACGAGGTCTGGAGTAGCAAGGCCTCATTGGGTGCACATGGGAACCATTTGGTAGAACAGCCAGCATTGCAGTCTGCTGCAGCAGTTCACTCTCTTGCTTAGAGGTGGGGGGAACTCAGGCCTGCAGCACTCCAGACTCCCTTTTTGCGGCCTCTGGGACTCTCCCCAAGCCATATCTCTTCCCAAGGCCAAACCCCTTCTCTCTAGGTCACCCCCTTCACTGGCCCTGCTTGTGGCCTTTTTCAAGTGCCCGGAACCATGGTAATACCTCTTGCTTGCCCACATAGAACCTTAACTTGTCTATAGGTGGAAAGTAGCCCACTGTACAAACTGAAGATTCACATCCATTACCCTGCTCTCTTTTCTGTCTCTGTGGCCTCACCCTCTGGTGGCATCATGATTGAGGGGGCCGGGGCCGTGATTGAGAGGGCCAGGGCCATGCGACATCAGCGCACCCTACAACATGCACCCATGACGCCAGTGCCCTCCTGCAGCCTGCACAAGTGATGATGTGTCGTGGGGACACCCCGCGGCTTACTCCTGTGACATGAGCACACCCCACAGTTGTGTGCACGGCTGCTGCATAACTTTGAGGGGCCCAGCCCCTTCATTGAAAATCACTTGGTGCGCCGGGGTGGCATGTGCTCACCCCCACCCTGCAGGCTGCCCACAAAGCACTGCCATCAAACTGGTTCCGCATCCCTGCTCTAGCTCAACTGCCAACAGTAACAGAACTTGTCAGCATTATAGCCTCAGTGACATCACAATCAGCTTGCACTGCATGCTGGGAAACAATGACTTATCTCACTGAAGTCCGTTGAAACTCAAGAAACATCTACAAGAGGGCAGAGCCTGCATATATGAGCTCTGTAAAAGGCAGCACTGCTGATCCAAAATGCAGGCCTCTGATTTTAAGATGGTCCAGAAAGCCAGAGTTTGGGCTGTGCTGGAGAGGTAGCAAAAGTGTCACTGTCTCTATACATGGACACGCTCACCGTGTCTGAACTGGCAGGAGCTAGCATGTTCGCGGGGTTGCTGATCAGACTGAAGAGTTGGTCACTTCGCCACTGATCAGCTGAGTGGTTTCTACGGGCGAAGAGGAAGTGCAGCGAAAGAAGTGCATTGCTCACAGCCTGGAAAGAGAACTCTGTTAGCAGGAGGAAATGACAAAACACAGAGAGACAGAGAGAGAGAGAAGAAAGCAGAACTACATGTTACCCTTGGCACACATGACATGAAGAAGCATCAAGCAGGTGGGAGGAGCACTTAAATCTCCCCATACTTGCTTTTTCTCTCTTGCAAATGCTCCCCTGGAGGAATTTCCCCCACAGCTCAGCTTCAGCCAGATTTACAGGTATTTACAAGGGAAAGCTAAGTATCCACTGGTCACCCACTACTTCTCCCCTACAAGTGCCCCACACTTATGTGTTTTCCTCAACTTGTACTCTACCCACAGATGGCAAACTATCATCCAAATATTAACCGAAATTTTTAACTGGACTGACCAATTCTGCAACACAGACACATTCACCTAACTCCTGCTTGATTTGGGATCATCCAGTGTTTGCTCAAAAGCTGAATAAATTTGTCCTCCTTCCTCCCCTATCCCTTCTCTACCCTGCCCCGCCCCCCTCCAGCATGCGGATGACTTAATTATTAGCTTTTCTGGTTTTGCAGTTTACCTACTTCCCTCTTTTTTACTTCCTGTTCCAGTCACGGCTGCCACCAAAACTCCCCACACATTTCTCAAAATGTTATTTGTATACACTTGTGAAGCAGCAAAAGGAAAGGGAAGAAGCTCACAATAAGAACTGTAATTGGGCTACCTTCAGCCAACACCATGAGAAACTGGAGCAAAGAATGTTCATTCTCTCCAACCAACTACAGAACCACGTTCACCTCCATGGAACCACAATTCAGAGGTACACCACATGCTTTGCACACATCAGTTCCCAGGTTCTGAGGTGGTGGGCTCTCCTTCCTTGGGGATTTTTAAGCAGAGGTTGGATGGTCATTTGTCATGGGTGCTTTAGTTGAGATCCTGCACTGCAGGGGTTTGGAATAGATCCCTTCCAACTCTACCATTCTATGATTCTACAAGGTGTGACCGGAAAGTTTGGTGAATGGTAACAGAAATCGGACAGCGAGAAATATTTGAACATACGTTACAGGCCTTCAAAGTAGGCCCCTTCTGATACAATGCACCATTGACAACATTCGTAGAACTGTTAGAAACTTCTGGAAAAGTCCTCTTTTCGTACTGCTTTCAGTTCCCTGGTCACAGCAGCTTGGACATGTGAAATGTTGGAAAATCTGTGCCCTTTCATAGCAGATTTCATCTTTGGAAAAAGAAAGAAATCTGATAGGGCCAGATGGGGAGAATATGGAGGGTGGGACAACTCAGTAACCATTTCACACGGAATATGCAATTCTTCCATCATCATTCGGATGGACAAACGCTGATCCCACTTCAATAACTCATGAACTCTGTCGACATTTGCCGTCGTTCTGCTCATCAACCGTCTGCCAGACCGAGGGTCATCTTCAATGGTTGCCTCCTTTCATGGAAACGCTTAAACCACTCACACACTGGCTTTTGAGTTACAGCTTCATCTCCATACACAATTGTGAGCATTTCGTGGGTTTCTGATGCTGACTGTATGTTCGAATATTTCTTGCTGTCCAATTTCTGTGACCACTCACCGAACTTTCCAGTCACACCTTGTATGTTCAATTCCTCACATCTCTAACAAAAGGGATCTCACAGGACCAAGCACTGGGAAAGATGTTGGAGAGCCACTGCCAGTCAGACTCTACAATTTGACAAGACTAGATGAGCCACTGGTCTGATTCAGGACAAAGCTTAATGATACTGCATAAAAACCAACACTCTCATTCTTGAGAACACAGCAACACACGCAGGAAGAATGCATGTTACAAAATCATAATGTGAATCTAGATGTGCTAAGAAGTTAATGGAGATAGAGTCTAATGCTGAGACCCCAACGCCAGGCCTGTGGGCACCACACTGTCCTCATACACTTTCTTTTGGTGCCTCCCAAGCCTCCCACTTCATTCTTTATTTTAATCTCACCTTGGTATGGGGCCCAAACTCTTCCATCAGCTTGCGCAAGGGATTCTCATACTCCAGTATCATCTGACCCAACCGAGGGAAACTGGCATCACTATAGCCAAATACGGAATGAGTCAGAGGTGTTTGCCAGCAACAGAAGCCCTCCTCCATCACTGACAGTGCCCACCCATTTCACTGCAAGAGCATGACAAGTGCTCCAATGACAGAAGCCCTGGGCTCCAGAGAACCTTATTGGGACAATCCAGGCAACAACACAAAACACAGGAGAATGCAACACCTGGTCTCCAAAAGTGTGGGAGGGTGGCCTTGCAGGAGAAGGGATTCTCATGCTGTGGTGATGACAGGATTATGGGGTGGGATTGGCCTATTTGACTGCTTTGTTCTTTCTTTCCTTCTTGAAGATGTGTGCCCCCATACTGGTGGTGGGGTGAGGGGAATAAAGAGAAGCAAGGGGATTGCTGAGGAGGAGGTGGAAGCCTGGCTGGTGTTTCTCCTCCAGGATAAGAGACGACTTGAGTGCTGCTGGTGGAAAGGGGCATCATGGAGTGCCCTGTTTCTAGAAAATTTGCAGAAACAAATCAAAAGCATTGTTTTGTAAATTTCTCAAAAGGGTGAAGGCATGGCAGAATGAAATGTGTGGGTCACCACCACCAACAGTGTCACAGGTATCTGTGACATTTGCACAAGGACATTCCATGCAATCCTTTTGCTAAGGAGGAAAGCAGAGGGAGGAACTGTGTTTTCCATATCAAAATACTAGTGTTTAATGCAATTACCTTTCAACAGATGGGCTAGCTTGGGGGGCATAGGAGTGGGGGGGGAGTAATTTGTTTATTTACATTCCTTATTAGCGGCTCTTCAACCAAAGCTCCCATAACACTTTACAAAGCAAAAACAATACTAATACAGAATAAAAGAAATAATTTGCATTTGAATCTCCCACAAAAGCCAAACAACAACAGAACATCTGGAAAGGCCCATATCTTTGAGAAAATGGTAGGTTTCAGCTACAGATGGCATATTTAGGTTAAAAGTTAGGAATGGTCTTTTAACTATAATAGCAAAATAGCTGTTGGGGTGGGGGAAGTGTTACCTCCTCCTCAATACTTGTCAAGAGAAGGCCAGACATCCACCTGTTAGGGATTGCTATAGGCATTAGGAATGCACTATTGGGCCAAGGGAGTGGAATATATGGACACTGACCCTGATCCATGGATCATCTCATGGGTACACTGGTACAGGCCAATCAGGGCTTTGCGGTCATCAATACGAGAAAGGAGTAAGATGGCAGATGCGTAGGTGACAATCAGGTCAAGGTAATTCTTTGTGAAGTCATAGTTTAGATGCTGCAGAAGGAAAGAAAAAAAGTCAGTTTTATTTATCTGATAAAAAGGGAAATGTATTGACATCTTCGTCAAACTCTGGGCAGACTCCTGGCAGCAGCACTTTTCTTAGAATCTCAGCACAATCTGCTCAGATAAGGAATGGTGGACCTGTGGCTCTCAAGATGTTATTGGGACTATAATTCCCATCATTCCCAGTTATAGTCTCAACAACACCTGGAAGTTCACAGGCTCCACATCCCTTATCTAAGCAGATTGTGATGGGATTGTAAGGCATTCCTCATTCCCTGTCTTAGACAATGGCTCACTTTGTGTGAGTCTCCAAGCCATGTTGGAGGATTGTGAATGAGCCTAAAGGCTGCATGAACCTCCCTCCTCTCTGACACGCAGCTTCTCTCTTACTTTCCTGTTTTAGCAGTAGCCATAGTTTGCCACAATGTACCAAGTGTCAACCACAATTAGTATTTTCCTTCCACTGCCAGAATAAAAAATGCATTTAAATTCTAGTTTCCAATTCTTTCCGGAGGAAAAACACTAAGCCATAATTTGCCAGTTCAGACATAGGGGCAAACTATGGTTAGCACTAAACAGACACTAGGTGGAGTCTTGCTTCCGGCTGATGAATTAAGTGCTACTTTGAGGGCTACAAAGGTTAGTTAGTTGTGAAGAACAGGCACTTCAAAATTCAAAATACTTTTCTTTTAATGGCAGAAGGAAGAGGAGATCAATCCCTCCCAATGAGTGCAAGACAAGCTGAAAGGGGAAGGTGGAGCTCTGCTAAGTCTAACTTCTATGCTGCAAGATCAGTTCAGCAACAGACTTGAGAGGTAACGAAATGAAAATCTCCTTACTTGGACATTTAAAAAAAATGTACTAGAGAACATTTATTCATCTCCTTGCCCAGCCCTTCCAAACCTATGATTCATGGAAAAAAGACACAGTTCCTCAAGCATTCATGTGTTGGATGAATCATACCGACAGTTCAGTTAGCAAACTGTCAATAGCCAAAAAGTTTGAATTGTGGTCCATTTGCACCTATAACAGCTTCCCTACGAAGTCTAACAGCAGCTTTCAGGAAGTGGTGTTTTCATCAGGAAAAGGAATGGGAAGAAAGGTTCCATTTTCCTCTCCACATACTGAGGACATTCACTTCCTGTCCAGAGCTAGAGCTGGGAATTTAAGGATCCATGCTTGGCTGCCCCTTGTGGTAAGTCACTCAGGAAAAGGGCTCTAACTTCCTTCTAGGCTCTGGTAAGACTTTGCCCAGCCAGGCAGCCCACTGATTTATCCTCACCTGATAGGGATCTATCAAAGCTTTCAGGTCAGGCTTGAGTTTTGCTTGGGTAGCAGGAGCAGTGACGATTTCTGCTATAGCTGGTTCCTATCTGCTCAACTCCTTACTGCCTTGCTGCCTCCTTATTCCCACCCAACTGACTTACTTTTTCTTTTTTTAAATAATTTTTATTAATTTTGAATTACAAAAATCCAATATAAGCTTTATAATATCAATACCAAAATACAATTACAATTCAAATACAAATCCATCACATGGCCAATTATAAAATTTAGGTGGCTCCCCGCATGCTGGACTTCAAGGTCTACTAGTTCCCTTTCATAGAATCATAGAGTTGGAAGAGACCACAAGGGCCATCGAGTCCAACCCCCTGCCAAGCAGGAAACACCATCAGAGCACTCCTGACATATGGTTGTCAAGCCTCTGCTTAAAGACCTCCAAAGAAGGAGACTCCACCACACTCCTTGGCAGCAAATTCCACTGTCGAACAGCTCTTACTGTCAGGAAGTTCTTCCTAATGTTTAGGTGGAATCTTCTTTCTTGTAGTTTGGATCCATTGCTCCGTGTCCGCTTCTCTGGAGCAGCAGAAAACAACCTTTCTCCCTCCTCTATGTGACATCCTTTGATATATTTGAACATGGCTATCATATCACCCCTTAACCTCCTCTTCTCCAGGCTAAACATGCCCAGCTCCCTTAGCCGTTCCTCATAAGGCATCGTTTCCAGGCCTTTGACCATTTTGGTTGTCCTCCTCTGGACACGTTCCAGTTTGTCAGTGTCCTTCTTGAACTGTGGTGCCCAGAACTGGACACAGTACTCCAGGTGAGGTCTGACCAGAGCAGAATACAGTGGCACTATTACTTCCCTTGATCTAGATGCTACACTCCTATTGATGAGGCCCAGAATTGCATTGGCTTTTTTAGCTGCCGCGTCACACTGTTGGCTCATGTCAAGTTTGTGGTCAACCAAGACTCCTAGATCCTTTTCACATGTACTGCTCTCAAGCCAGATGTCACCCATCTTGTATTTGTGCCTCTCATTTTTTTTGCCCAAGTGCAATACTTTACATTTCTCCCTGTTAAAATTCATCTTTAATTCTGCTTACACACTATTGCTCAATCCAATTACAATCCAATCCTGATAAAATCCCTTATACCACAGCTACAATGTTTTAACTTCAATTCATATTAACGCATTTAGTAATTTATAAGTTCGCTAGTCAAGTTCTCCTTTTTCTTCCTGTGTGAGGTATTAATCTTAATCCATTGTTCCTTTACGTCTTTGTCAAATATTATGTCCATCTTGGTTATTCCCGATCTCTGTCGTGCCTTGTGGCGCTGCTGACTTGGTGTCACGCTAGATAGATCTCTCCTCTTTTGTTCTCCAGCCCCTCTGATTGCAGCTGCAAAATTCCATTGCCATTACTTCCAGTCCTAGGAGGGGAGTCGCCTGGCACCCTGCCAAATCCCTGGCAAGTCCTCAAAGTCCAATCCGTCCTCCCCTCAGACGGGGGGGGGGGGAGATTAACTTCATAGAGATTCCAAGTCTTTTAAAAATTATTCCATACTATTATGTTTTCCTCACACAGTTCAGTTTGTTATTGTAATCCATATCTATACTCCCGTCTCCCTTCATCTTCACCTGCTATATGAATTTATTTATTTATTGCATTCTCAGGGGGTTTGCCAAGTCATTTTTGTAACAAAGGATTTATAATGAAGCCGTTGGCTCCCCGCCCCCACTCCACATACTGTTTTTTAGATTGAATGAAGTCTTCTTTCCGATTCGTATCTTTACAACCTTGTAGCTGTTTCAATTCAGCAGTTTTTGATCTTGTCCCATCATTTCCAGCACGCGTCTGTACATTAATCCCAAATAATCTTTAACGAACAGAAGAACCTCTGCTCTTAATGGCGTCATTGGAGGGTTACCAAGAGGCATAGTGCTTTTGCACTCAGTGCCTCCCTGCCTCCCGCATTCTATGCCAGAGCGGGAGCCAGGCACCGAGATGATCTGCGAGTGTAGCCCGTTCCCACCATCCCTGGATAACCTTGATTAACCTTTGCCAACGATCTCCCATTGTCATGGGAGGTAACTCCATTAAGGCAGACAGGAACCGGAAGCCCCAACTGACTTTCTAAGCTGCCAATGGCCCAGCATCAAGATAAAAATATAAGGCATAATGTCCACAGTTGCATACCCTCTCAGCATTAAGCTAAAAGTAATGCCCATCTGCCTTTAATTCTCAGAAGCCAACACATCCATACTTTATTCAAAAGATACTCACAATGTCAAAGTGGCACAGGGTGGCGTCCATAGTGTTCAGCAGCTCATAGACATGGTCCTAAAGAAGAAATATTAGCATTAATGAAGCTATTGGGGTAGAGAACTGGACTCCACACACTCCATTGCTGCATATCATTCATTTTTATTATTGCATTTATAGCCCACCTTTCCTGCAAGGGCCTGTACGTGGTTCTTCCCCTCCCCACATTAATACAGCAACTCAGTGAGGTGAATTAAACTCAGAGAGAGAGAGGGTGGGAGGAGAGAGAGGGAGAGACTGACTGGCCCAAGGTCGCCATCATAAAATTTTAGGGGACACACACATAGCAGACACACACACTTCACATAAAGCCAATCTTTAGCCTTCAAAATGTAGGAAATATTCCCTGAGAAAAGTACACATTATTTTAGCACACAGAACAATCAAAAAGGCCATCTTGGTTCTCCTAATGACTATAAATAATTTCCTCTACAGAAGGAAATAACTTGGTGAGACCTTTCCCAGTAGTTCTTTCACTTACAAATCCTGTCTTAAGGGCATATTTGATGTATGGAGAGGGTGGGCTTATGACCAGAATTCGAGAACTAAGGTAAAAAGGCCAGACTGCCCAGGTAATACAATCAGTAAAACATTATCAGGTATCTTGGCAGACAGGAGAACCCATACTCTCAAATTTCTGTGATGTATGTATGGTGCTTTTAGGGTCTTCTTTGGCTAAGGGGTTGGGAAATGTCTGAAGTCTTTAAAGGTTCCTGCACACTTTGTTCTTGGGTTCTCTCACCTCCTTGGAAGGAGGGGGGTGGGACTCTGTTGCAACAGAAAAATAAAGATCTGCCTTGCTTTCACTGGATCCTGTTTCCATCCATTCTTCTCTAACTGATATAGGGGACTCAGAGTCCTTTGGGGAGTTGGGCAGCAAAAGCCAACCTCCAATTTTATACAACAGTCACCCACACCAATTTAAAACAGTCTGGTTGCAAAGATCAACCCAGCATGAAACCAATTACCTTTCCCCACTCCATGCCCCCGCAAAGCTGTATGAATCATCTCAGACTTTGCTCGAGACTGCTGCTGATGACACTGACAGATGTTTGTGTTTCTGTCCTTGGACATTAAAGATCTACCTGATTATGAATTCAACTGTAAACTCTGTGTAGCATTAAAAGAGACATGAACACTTCATCTTTCTTTTTTTTAAAAATGTTGCTTCCATTCTTGAGAGGCTGGCTTTCTTATTAAGCACAGATGTGTGCTGCTAGCTTTGCTTATTTAGCAAATGTCCGCTGTCCACAGATGTGACTGCTTTTTCATTTTAATTCTATTTTTGTACAGTAGAATCTGTTTTCTGGTTTTATTCTGAACAGGTTTTACATTGCCAGGGGGTGTTGCTGTACCTCCACCCCACCCACCCCTTGACTGGTCTAACTGGGTCGTCATGCCCAGCCTACATTCCAGGGTTATTGTGAGGAAGGACTGGGGAATAAAATGTATTTGGAAGGAGAACTGGATAAAATACTGTATCTACTATATATTTTGAAAAGTTGTTTGTTCACCATACATTTAAGTTATCATAACAAAATTTTGCACGATGGTTCTTGGGATCAAGGAACAGATTTTCATTTATGTTTGGAGGCAACTGGATGCCCTTTCAAATCAAGATGGCAACTGAACCTTTCAAAACTGCACTGATTTTAGCCACTGATTCAAAATCTGCATGGCTTTTTGGTTTCTTAGAATTCCCAAGCAATAGCAAGTATGAGACTGCTAATATAAAAATAAAAAAAGTGTCCAAGTTAAAATCCACCTAGAGATAGTGTGGCATAGCAGTTAGAGGGCTGGGCTGAGACATGAGACCAGGATTCAGTTGTGAAGCTCACTGGGTAACCTTCGCCAGCCACTGTCTCTCAGCCTAACCTACCCCACAGGGTAGGTTGTAAGGATAAAATGGGGAGGAGGAGAACAATGTACCACACCTTGATCTCCTTGGAGGAAAGATGAGATATAACTGTAGTAAGATACAAATGTGATGATGATAATAAATAATAAGAATAAGAATGTAATAATGCAGAAACCACTTGCTCTGACAACAGCCATGTCCCAAATTCTGCAATGCCAAAGTGGGAAATGCTCTGATGACCTTTTTGGCATTATGACTATTATTTCACTTTATTATAACTTGCCCATCAGCTGAAATGACCACTTTTGCACAGCTATTAAAGGTGTAGGAGTCTGGTCTTCTTTTTCATCTGGTCAGCCAAGTTATTATATGCAAGGAGAAGACTTCTGGCCTAGTAAAGACTCCACAAAGGCTTAGCACTCAACAGTTGCGGTCATCCCTGTCATTCACACAGAGAGGTCAAGAAAAACTACAGAACAACTGCTCTCCTCTTTCAAAAAGGTAGAAGGCTTTTCGAGTCAGACCAGGGCAAATCAATAGAAGCCTCAAAAGCAACATCTCAAATCCCTACTAACACTCACCCGGAATTCCATTACATCCACAAAGGTTTGATAATAGGAAGTGAGTGCCCGGAAAATATCTGCTTTCTCCTTGTATACTGGTCCCAAATGTTGCTGTAAAGAAAAGCAAACAAAGCATGGACAAGTATGACTGATCACCAGCAACCTCATTCCTCTGGGAAACAGAGCAGAGCTTTTTCAGTAGTGGCTCCCTTGCTAGGGAATGGACTCCCTAAAGCTATCGATCTGGCCCCTGATCTTAGTGTTTTTTCCCCTACCATCATTTTAAAGAAATGAGCTTGTATTTCTTTTAATTTCAGCAGGATTTTTACAAAAACAAATTATATTTATTGAGTTTTATTAAGGCTTCATGTCCAGATATACAGTTTACTCAAGTGACAAAAACAATTGACCACAAAACAAAAACGAAACACCAACAATTCAGGTAAAATACTTGATCTGAAAACTATTGGATCCATTTTAGTCACACTCTGGCTACATTTAGGCTTACTCCTTCTGTTCATTTTTTTTAGTGACACGTGACAGCTAATTATTATCTTTTGTATGTTTGACACCACAATCCTGAACACAATTACTAGGCAATAAGCTCCACTGAACACAGGAAGAATGAATTCAGAATAAGCTTGCATGGTTTTAGGCCTTACATCACAACTTGCTTCCAGGGCACAGGGCAACAGCACCAAGTCTTTCCAGACTGGAACAAATACACAATGGCTACCTGGCATCTCCACATCACGGGGAGGAGTGGCCCAAGTCCTTCCTCCCCTGCTTGACACTTAACATTTATCTATGTTTTTAAAGAGACTGATGAACTCATCCAGCTTTACAAACTTTTCGTTCCTGAAGAGCAATTAATATCATCTAGGCCTTCCTCAATATATACAGGGAGATACAGTGATAGCACACATGTTTACAAGGGAAAAGTCCTATGTTCAACCCTTGCCAGCTCCAGCTGAAAGGACCTCAGGAGGTATCAGGGCTAGAAAAGGAAAGGTCTCCTTTGAGAGCAATTGGAAAACAGCCCTTGACTAGATTCATACATTCATGTGGATTATGAAGGGCTGGAGCTCCATGGTCAAACACATACTTTGTATGCAGAAGGTCCCAGTTTCAATTCTCTGCATTTCAAGATAGGTTTGTAAAAAGCCACTACCTGAAATCCTGCGCAGCTGCTGCCAGTCCGCATGGACAATACTAGGCTAAATAAATGGGTTGGTGGTGTGGCTCAGTAAAAGTCAGTTCCTACTACTCAGGGATAGAACATATTTCTACCTATGCTCTATCCTAGTTAATATAATGTAATTGGAATTTGGGGCCATCAAGAAAATGCCTCCTGACTCAACCCCTAGAATACACCCAGGATGGCAGCAGTTCTTCTCGTGCAGAAGTTACTCTTGTTTAAGCCAGGAGAATAGCAATGGCCACTTTCTGTTCCCAGAGAGTACAATCCCTCCAACTCCCCACTCCAGCTCTGACATGGGGTCTCACCGTGCCGCTCCGTGTGTCCAAGTTGGGAAACTTCTTGTTGATGTATTTGATAGAGGATTCCATGGTCTTCTCGGTGAAGAAGCTTGGCTTGGTCCGGGAATCCATACATGTCTGCAAAAGTCAACAAAGCTGCACTCAGAACTGAGCAACGTGCAATGCCAATTGTGCTGCTCTATTTAATTTCTAGGGGAAGCGGGTAGCACTGTTCATCAGGAACACAGCATCCAGGGAAAAGAAAGTTTAATCCTTTACCCTACTGCAGTTGCAACACACACAGAGAGAGTGCCTTTTAGTGCCAATAGGACCTGCCTATAAGAATAACAGCAGAGCAAGGGAGATGTTACAAAAGTTGGACGCCACCTGTGAACACTGCAGTCTCCCAGAATATCTAATTTCTGACTTCACTAAACTTAAGCAAGGCCTCATCTGCACAGCACAGTTAAAGCAGCATCATGCCACATGAAGCAGTCATGGCTTCCTGCAAAGAACCCTGGAAAGCAGTTTGTTAAGAAGCTTAGAGTTGTTGGGAGACCCCTGTTCTCCTTACATAGCTATAATCCCCCATGTTCCCTGGGAAGAGATTGTTAAACCACTTTAGGAAACATAGTTGTAGGAAGAGAATTCAATTTGATTCAATCTGACTGGTTGATCATTGCTTTCATGATGTTGGTTTGGGATTCCTAGCTCTTTACATGTAAGAAGGTTCGGCATTCATGTCCAATCCTCCACTTGACACATTTTTTCCAATTACGGATTACCGTATTTTTTTGCCCTATAGAACACACTTTTTTCCCTCCAAAAATGAAGGGGAAATGTGTGTGCGTCCTATGGTGCGAATGCAGGCTTCAGGAAGCTATCCGCAAGCCGTGGGAGAGCTGCGCGACTTCGCGCAGCCCTCCCACGGCTTACAGAGAGCTGCCTGCACCCAGAAGCCTGGGGCGCGCTGAGCTCAGCACACCCCAGGCTTCGGGCTTCGCGCAGCTCTCCCACAGCTTGCGGAGAGCTGCCTGTTCTGGGGGCTGGGGTCGGGGGAAGCTCGGGCTTCCCCCAGCCCCATGCCTGGGGGGGGGGGGATAATTTTTTTCTTTATTCCCCCCCCCCCCAAAAAAATAGGTGCGCCCTATGGGCCAAAAAATACGGTATTATCTATGAGCAGCTGCATTAAAAGCTGTACCCATTTCCCTTTCCTCTAATAAGACCAGATATTTAATATGGCAAGATCATAACCAACAGCAACAGTCACTTTATTAATAAGTGGAGGTAAACAACAGGCACTCCTACAAATCAGCAGATCAGAACCACACATCAGATCCCCACAGAGACTCCAAATCCCATACAAACCATACAGAGCATACAGCCATACAGTCAACTCTCTCTGTAGTAGTAATAGTAATAGCAGCTTAACTAGTCACTGTCATACTGAATCTGCCAAGGTCAAGCATTCACCTCTCGGATCATACCATCCCAACCTTGTCAGTGAACCACCCATTCAAAGAACCATTCACAGCCATTTAAGAAAATAACATTGTTTTGTCAAATCCAAGATTCTAATTCAAGAGGCACTTTAAAGAAAAAAACACAGGCCCATCCATCCACAGTAATCAAATAGCAAGCTCAAATCACTCCCTAAGGTAAAATGTAAGTGATGTACATGTGGTGGAACCTGCGACAGTTTGCAGTAGAGATCATGATCAAAGCCGGAAGGGGAAAGGAGGTGCCGCCAACAAGACAATTCTGTTGTAAGCTGTGATCAGATCTGCTGTTGCCCCTACAGAAAGAGGAAGCTTCAGAAAGTTCTCAGCCAACACTCACATGCAACAGGAAGAGGAACCACATGCGTGTGGTATCTCCTCGTCTGCTAAAATGCTTAGAATAGCTCCAAGGTTTCAGCTAGTGGAAGATCTATTTACGTCTTTTCAGGTCTTCTACTGAGACAAGATAAAGAGGAGCCAAACAAATGGCTCAGTTCAAAAAGTTAGATTAGCACACCTGGGTTCAAAGCCCCATGAAGATCACTGCATGACTTTGGGCCAGTTTCTCACACACCCAGGTCTAACATACCTCTGGTTGTGATGATAAAATGTAAGCTTCCCTGAGCTCCACAGAAGGGAGGAGGGCAGACCTATGCAATTTATATCCGCTCCCACATCTTCCTCTGCCTGCTGAACCTTTCTACAGCATTAATGCAACAGTGATCAAGATCACAGATACGGAGCAGTTGCCACTCCAACCGCTGGTGATATGTATTCGATGGACAAGACTAAGATGGGCAGACAGGAGATGGACCAAGGGGGGATAGTCAGAAGCACCCAAGGTTGCAGTAGATATGTGAACACTAAGGTGGCTCAGGAAAGGTTTGTGCTGGTCAAAAAGGAGTCTTGAAGAGAGGAAGGAATTGGCTGGACAAATAAAGAAAACTCTTTCTGCTGGGAGTCGAAGAAACGGCTTGATTAGCACTGATGAAAGCAAGGAAGTAGGACTGGGAACTAGAGAAAATTGGGACCGATTGCAGATCCAGAAAAAAAGTATTTTCTTTCAGAGCAGCAGTATGCAAGAATCCCTAGTTTCCTCCATTAACCCACTAGATCCACTGCCAGCTGCTTCTAAGAAGGCATCAGCAGTTGACTGAAGAGCCATGAACTCTTCCTTGGACCTTTCCCAGTTCATATTCGTTGGGGGGTGAGCATCATGCTTTCACAACTGGGATCAAAATAGGAGCTGTCTACTAGTCAATGAAGCCTAGGACTTCCTCAACCCAATAAAAGTAACTAGCAGCCCTGCTCTCTAGCTACCTGCACCCATGGCTGTAAGAGCCATTCTCTCTTCTTGCACCAAGCCAAGAGCAGAGCACGGCAGAGGACCTCACCACCCCTTTTCCAAACCACTAGACCCTATGACTTCCTTCTCAAAGTTGGGCACAGATCCGTTTCCCTGCAGAGAACACGAAGACCTGCCACTGGTCACATCAGCTCCTACCTTCTTGATGTTGTACATGCGAACAAGGACCCCCTTGCCCCTCTCATTGAGGATGGTCAGCTTCTCCGCAAACTTGTGCTGATACACGGAGGGCAGAGACATCTCCCTGTTGAATTCTCAGTGCCCTCTCAGTCTTCACTTGAAGCAAGACCTCAAAACTAGAGGCGCAATACAGTGCCGTGATCTCTTCAAGGGGAAAATTTAAAAGGGGGGCAAGAGATCTGGGTGCCATGCAGTGGCCACACCCAGCAACACAAGCTGCAGAGGGCCTGCGTTGCTGCTTTCGCACTGGGGCCGGCAGCTGCACACAAGCTTGTCTCCTGACACTTCCCCCTTGAGAAGCGGTGAACGCTGCTTCCCTTTGGGGGCTGAGACTTCCTGTGGCTGGAGCGCTTAAGAAGCACAGCAGCTCTGTTGCAAAGCAGATCTGCAGATCATGCTAGTTTTGTTCTGTGGAAGCAAACCTCTTCCTGCTAGGCAGTTAACTCTGCTGCTTCTGCCAAACCACACCTATTGTAAAATTAGAACTACCCTATTTTCTCCTGGTGCCTTTTTCAAGCTGGACAGCGGATAGAAATTATGGAGGTGAAGCTTGTTAACGGAGAAATCTGAGGGCTCCCTTGGACAAAAAACAAGGACACCAGCCAGGAATACCAGAGCAAAACAGCAGCCAGTAGGCTTGGTCTTTATTGAAGACTGTTGTGACAGGACTCCCACCTGCCACCAGGTGAAACAAGATGGAAGCCCTGAACAAAAGAAGACCCCAACTTTTATTAGTTGCTAACCCCCCAAAATACACCCCTAAAACTACACAACTACATCACTGATACATCACAAAAAGGAGGGGTTGCGGGAGCAGTTTGTGGAGGTAACCTGAGTATCTTGTCACCTGGCTGGTTCCTCCTTTCCCCCTCCCCATGAGTCATTTCCAGGGGACAAAGGGAGGAGGCAGTTTCTTGCCCCAGAGGGAAGAGCTGATCATTGTCCTTTGTTCCAGTCGAGTTGAGTCCACTCCCATATGTAAGTTCTTTGTGTCCTTGATGGTCTTCTGTCTAGGACCATCAAGGTTGGCATGCCAACCGGGCAGGGCTCCTGCGTACATGTTGGTACCCTCAAGGGCTCAAGGGATTATGGCCGTCCTGGATCAAACCATCCCCTTTTGATAGTCCTTCCTACATAGAGCAAAATAAAAGTGGAACAGTGTAGATCCGATGTATGGTTGATTTTCTATGAATTTATAACAGAAACATTGTGTATGTCATGTGTGAGTGTATCTGTGTGTCAAGTTTGTACAAACTAAATGATTGGGGGTGGGTTCCTGCAACAAGCTGCTGAACTTCTGTCCATTGAGTAGCTGTTAAATACCCCAGACAAAAAAAACAACAACAGAACAGCAATGACTGATTTAATTACCCTGCTCTTGTGCGCGCGCGCTCTCTCTCTCTCTCACACACCCACCCACCCCACCTTTTTGGGAAGCAGTTAAGGGCACTCACTATGAGAGTTACACCATTTTACGTTTAGATTCTTATTCCACCTTTCCTCCAAGGCACTCAAGGGTGGGCAGTTGTTGCTATTATTTACCGTATTGGCCCGAATATAAGCCACACCCAAATATAAGCCACAGCTTTAAAATTCAAGGGGGGGGGAAATACAATACCCAAATATAAGCTGCTCTCTTAAAATTCTGCAGGCACTCACACCCGTTCCATTTTACCGTATGTCTGGTTCAGCAGCGATATCGTAAAAGCCCATTTTTGTATGGTCGCAAATTTAAGCTGTGCTTTAACTTTTCACGGTCAGAATTTGGGGGGGGGGGAGTGAGGCTTAAAAATAAAATAATTATTTAAAATAATTTAAAAATAAAATAATTATTTAAAAATAATTTTAAAAAATAGATTTTTAAAATTTAAATCAGATTTTTTAAAAATAAAATAAAATGCTTTTGGTGAAAAAATCTTTCTAAAGATAGTTTTCTTTAAGTTACCAGTAAGTGTGAAGCAGTAAAAATGAAAGTGCAAACCTTGTGAGCAGAATACTCCACAAGTCTTGGGATCTTTGTGAAAGGATTGTGCAAGTCAGTTGCATGTCTGTGTAACTCGGACTTGAGGCAAGTGCTGAAGGCACTTCAGGGCTGGCAGCCTCTTCCCAATCCCACCGGGTCACAACAACTGCACTGACACTTAACTCTGCAGAATAGGCACCTGAATGTAGAAGCAAATCCAAAGGGTGGTGGAGGAGGAGGAATTAGTAACAGGGATCTGTAAGACCTTGGTGAGACCTTGAAGTGCTTGCCAGTCAACTAATAAGAGCACTAGTTCCAGGCCCTTCTTCCCAGAGCTCGCCTGACATTGTCCAAACGATAAAGTTTCTACCTGGAACTTCAGTCCTGACGTTCTCTGCTCCAGTCCTTGTTTCCCCTTTTCCAGCTTTCCACCAGCCTGTTTCTCCTCAGCCTGCTCTTTCTGCAAGCCTCTTCCAGCTCAGGCCTACCAACTGTATCTCTCTCCCCCCCCCCCCCCGCTTCTCCAGAAAAAGTACAGCAGAACAGCTGTCCAAATATACAGTAATACCTCTGCAAACGTCCGCCTTGTCTAGCGTCCATTCCAGCAAATGTCCACAGCAAACCCGGAAGTACCGGGTTACTTCCGGGTTTGCAGCTCACACATGCACAAACACGCTAAATTGCGCTTTGCGCATGTGCAGACGCACAAGCCACTCCATGCACGTGCGCAGACACAGCGCTTTGCCCTGCGTCCTTTTTGGCTAGCGGCTGGGGCTCCGGAACAGATCCCGGCTGCAAAACAAGGTACGACTGTAAACAGTTAAACTTATTAAGCCTTGCAATAATGTATTTCTAATGATAAAACCAAATCAGTAATTTTTGATATAACTGTAAAAACTACTCTGAAAATTTATTATTCCAAAAATGAAACCTTATACCAGCAAGAATGAGTCTTTCTGTTAAAAAAAAACCTCAGATCGTATAAATCTTTTGCCTTTTAAAAAGAAAAAAAATTACATCAAGTCTTACTGACTAGTGATTTAAATAGCTTTTATTTAAATCAAATCCACCGTTTCAAACGGCAAATAACATGGTAACTGTTGGGGAAGGAGGAAAGAACTCATATGTCTGCTATCAAGCATGGTTGTTTATTTTCTGAGGAAATATACCATATTTTTCAGTGTATAATACGCCCCCATGTGACTTTGCGGGACTCAAATTTAAGAAAAGAGGGGTGGTCCTCCAAAGTTGAGCTTTTTTTAGGGGGGAAATGCCAAAAATAGCTCCCATGACAGACCAACAATGCCACTCGCACACATCGACAAAGCAAACTATCCTCCGTTCCCTCCCCGACAAAAGCAGCAAATCGCTGCAAGGACAGCAAATCAACACCAGCCCTTGCCACAGCTACCAATAACAATCTCTGACTCACAGCAGCAACCAATCCCACGTTCCCACAATGCACTACCCATGTCTGATGACCCCGAATTTTGAACATGATTTTTGAATTGAAAGAATAGTCTTACACATGGGAAAGTACAGAAGTCTTCTATCTGACTAATGTGCCAGTTCCCACCAACCGGCAAGGCACGGCTGCCCAAGGTTGCAGCTTGGAATGGCAAGTATGCAGATCCACGTGCACAAACTACTGCTCTCTCTTAATGAGAGGAGAGGGCCAAGGCCATGCAAATTCCCTTCCATGCTGACAAGACTTGCCTTTAGAGAAAGAGTGAAATCTATCAGGTATCTATGGCTTTAATAGGTACCTTAGTTACAATGATGTCACAAAGTTCTTCAGAGAGCCACCATCCCATTGGCTGGATTTACAGTTAAACAGCAGGGTAAGTTGAAAGCTGAGTCACTTTGGATTCAGCAGCTGTTGAAGACAGGCTCTTTGATTTGGTCAGCCCCTCTTATCTCAAAGCCAGCCAGCTGCAGACAAGGCAAGTGCTTCCATGTATTATCAAATAATGGGATTGGGGTGTAGAAAAGGCTATCAACAAATCTGAGTCGAAAGTAAGGTGCTCTTAATTTGTGTTTGTGGAGGTAAACGGAAAGACTTGGTGTTATTGTTGTCTTCCCTTTAACTATCTTCTATCCTGGAACCCAAAGTGCTGGGCATGTGGTTCCTATGGTATACCCTCTCTTACCTAGGGAATGACTTGAGGCAGCACTGCTTAGCTTTAGCAAGGAGTTGCTTTCAAACTGCACCTTGGGACACTGTATGTGGTAAGGCTTTCTGGTTGTGTTTAATTTTGTATAATTTTAATTGTGGGAGATTATCCTGGGACTGTGAGGGGACCTGATGGGGTGAAGAAAAGTAATTCATTACTATGGTTAGTGTTTAACCAGAGATGATGGCAGGATGTTTGATAGTGCGGAGGGGATTGCTAGCATTATTATTCCTGCTGCTGAGTTGGGGGATTCCAATGCTGAAGGAGCCAGGCAAGTTTCTAGGTGAGTTAAGGGGCCCAAAGTGCAATTTTGAAGCTGGTTAGTAGCTTCTTATTTGTACAAGTTCAAAATGGAGCACAATCAGAAAACTTAACAAGGAACCAAGAGTATATACCGTATTTTGCGCTCCATAGGACGCTCCGGCCCATAGGGCGCACCTAGTTTTTTTGGGGGGAAATAAAGAAAAATATTTTTATTTTCCCCCCAGGTGCGGGGCTGGAAGAACTAGGTCGGGGAACAGCGGGAAGGTGCGCTCTGCCTCCCCGCTGTCCCCCGAGCTTGTGGGGCTGGCGATGGGGAGAAGTGCGCTGATCCTGGGACTGCAGGCAGCTCTGCGCGGCCATCCGGAGCGGGGCGGGACTTCACGCCCAGCTCCCAGTGGCCGCGCAGAGCTGCACTGAGCCGGGGACGGCAGGCAGCTCTGCGCGGCCATCGGGAGCGGGGCGGGACTTCGCGCCCGGCTCCCGGTGGCCGCGCAGAGCTGCGCTGAGCCCAGGACTGCAGGCAGCTCTGCGCAACCCTCGGAGTCGGTCTCCCGAGGGTTGCGCAGAGCTTCCTGAAGCCTGGAGAGCGAGAGGGGGGAGTGCGCACCGACCCCTCTCGCTCTCCAGGCTTCAGCGAAAGCCTGCATTCGCCCCATAGGACGCACACACATTTCCCCTTCATTTTTGGAGGGGAAAATGTGCGTCCAATGGTGCAAAAAATACGGTAAGCCTCTAATCTGAAAAACAGAAGTTAATCCTACCCCCTGGGAGTGAGAACTTTTTTTTAGCCCCCAGGCCAGATTCCTTTGGGCTGCATTCCAGGGGTGGATGGCCAAAGGCAAAAGCAGGTAGAGCGTTAAAGTTTACTTTTCTCTCTGTCTAGTAAACTAGTTTATTCACACTTGCGCACCTCTCTCTACCCTCCATCCAGCAAGCAAGAAGCATTACCAGAGTTCCAAGGGCAAATTCCAGCCAGGAACAAGCACTAAAGGAGGCCACAAGCAGGGCTGGTTAGGGCTGTGGCCCGGTGGGTGGGTGTCACACACATCTGTGAACATTTTACAAAAGAAAAGAGTTTTATCAGAGAGCATTGAAGTGATCAATCTGCCAAAGATATAATATGTGGTAGGTCAAAGCTGGGATTCAGGAGCACACAACTACCACTCAAAAAAATCTGAACTAATCTGTAAAATCTTCAGTTTGTGGTTAAACCATGGGGCCAGCGTGTTTTTAGCTGCTTGATTGAACAAATTAAAAAGCTGAATAATTAATGTGACTATTGCACAGGAACATTACAATTAATGTATGTTTACTCAGAAATCACATTGCATTCAGCAGACTGTACTCCCAGGTTAAGTGTCAATAGGATTGCAGTTTGCAGAACCCTGAAATATTTTGTAGCATTTATTAAGCCACTTTGGGGCACAAGTGCTGGAAAGCCAGGATTAATATTTACTGAAGAAACATCCCACAAAAGTCATTGGGGTATAGGCTCTGAATATTTGATGTTGTTCTTGCCTTGATGCATCTGAGGAAGTAGGCTGTAGTCCATGGAAGTTACGCCATAATAAATTTGTTAGGCTTTAAGGTGCCACAGAACTCCTTATTTTGTTTTGTTGTGTTTTGCTGTAAGAGACGGAGGGGTACTCCTGGCAGTCCTTGCCTCAGTGCCTTCAAAAGATCTTGGCTGCCTTCTGAAGTAGGCTTTCTAGTAGTCTGGGAGGGGAATTCTAATCAGGATTTCTCTGCCACTATTGCTTGAGAATGTTTCCTGCTGAGCAGAATTGTCCTGCCCAGTGGGGTGCCCAGACTGTGTTTTCAGAGTAACTTATAAATCCTCCTTGTCCAAGGACAAGTAATTAGCAAATGCTTTGTTATCTGGAGATTGCTGCCCTAACTGTGTGATCTCTACACACAGCAACGATAGCTGACTTTTGCTACTGAAAGTAATGCTGGGTCCTCCTGTCACATTAGTATAACTCCAGCAGGCCTTATATAGTCATTCTCATTCATTCTCTCTCTCTCTCTCTCTCTCTCTCTCTCTCTCTCTCTCTCACACACACACACACACACACACACACACACACACTTATTTTTATCTACTGCATTGTAGTCCTGACATCCCTCCATAATAATAATAATAATAATAATAATAATAATTTTTTATTTATACCCCGCCCTCCCCAGCCAAATCCCGGCTCAGAGCGGCTGTTTGCATAGACATTGAGGCAGCACACATTCTTCCCCCCCCCCACACCCCCCTGCAGTAATCCTGTGACAGTAGGTAGGGCTGAGTGTGTTGGTGCCAGGTTTGGGGGGGGGGGCTCTTGGGTACAACTCCCTCCCATAGCCTGTCTACTTCCTTGCTGAAAAGCATAAAGAGGAAGCCCATATCACCAGGATGGTGAAAGCCAAAGCAGACTGTGAGCAGCTCCAAAGTAATTTCTTCCAGCTAGGTGAAGGGGAAATAAAATGGCAGAGGATGTAGCGTGTCACTTACCACTATGTCACTTTACTCTTTAAAAGGCAACCCCAAATTTCCTTGTAACAGCAATGACACGGACCTTAGAACAAGGGGTCATCATTGAGCTATCAACAGCGTGTACTGCAATGGCAAAAGCAAAATCCATGCTTTGTAAGGGGGAGTATTGGGAAAAGTATTGAAAATAAATCTGACAGGACTGTAATGCCTACTATGCTAAAATATGATAATTATTATTGTATTGCTCTGTACTGTGAGGTTGGTGCATTCCCAAAAGGGCACAATACAGCTGGAAAAAATGCAAGAAAGGGGCCAATCAAAATGATAGTGCAGATGCTTATGGGGAAAAGCTATATTGTTTGAAGATACTTTCTTTAGAAAATAGGACATATAGTGGAGGCTTGAGTTATGAATGGTAGCAGAATGGTTGGCAAACATATTCCCTTGCATAATACTAGAAGTTGCCCAATTAAACTGGCATAAATATAGGAGTGACAAAGGTATTTTTCACAACACAATAATGAACAAGGATATCATTGCCAAATGTGGTGATGTGATGGTTTTATACCTAGGGTCCCTTGTGCCCTTGGTAAAGAGCTGTATCAATACCCCCCCCCCCCAAAAAAACTTTACTGTATGCCTTTGTGCTGTGGTGCAAGGATGGGAAGCTGCTTCTGCATTTGATCTCCCCATGATAGCAGTGGCATGTTGCCATATATGTCATACACTCCATAGCGATAGGTGAATTTTGTGGTGCCCCCCCCCAGCCTGTGCCCCCAGGAGAAGCCAGTTTATCCACCCACTAGGTACACCTCTGTACACTCTTACAGAGGACTAGTGGGTCAACAGCACTGGCATCAATATAAATGTAATCTCCAAATCTTTTAAGCAATGATTCCTAACAAGGGAGGGCTGTTTACCTTCATATCCTGGCGGTTGATTTTGAATCTGGCTATCAACTGCTAGAAATGGGATGCTAATAATAATAATAATAATAATAATTAATAAATTTATTTATACCCCATCCATCTGGTATAAATGGGCTAGACTAGGTTGACATGTGGTTTGATAACCAGGGCTCTTGTGCTCTAAACTAATGTCTGAAATAAGTTCAGAAGCAGCACTTCTGAGCAAATAAGCTATCTCATCAGAGGGTCAGATTCTTAGGCTTCAGACCATGTGTCTCTCTTGTATGGTTTTGCCCTGATGCTTTGTAACATCTCATTCTTAAACACTGCTAGGAGCACAGTACGCAGCCAGTCCTATATTAATTCCATGGATCCTGAACGGCTTGTCCAATGCCCTTATGATAAGAACCACCAGATCAGAGCCTGCAGGTTACCTTACCACTTGGTGAAATGCAGAAAGGTAAGAGGAGGGGGAAAAGAAGGATATTGGTAGGGTACCACAAATAACTTCTCCTCTTAAAATGGCCTTGCACATCTTGGATTTGTAGGAAATGGTTGAAGTGTGTTAATTCACCACAGAAGAATGAGCTACCCTGGCTCCTATGGGTGAAAGCAAGCAGAAATCTAATTACCACTTTGTTCATTGGCTCCCTTTTCAAAAGCAGAGTAAGTTAGCTCTGATCTGAGGTTATGTGACATGTTGAACATCCAAACAGATGTAAACAAGTTCAAACAAAATTGCACAATGAAGCCATTTGAGCAAGTCTAGAGTCTCCTGTTTGGTACACATGTTCTTCTATTGGAAGGACTCTTAATTTTAACAATTTTGTTTTTGTGACCTTGCAGCGAGATACTGTGTGGTTTTTAATTCTGATAACATGCCCCGTGATAGCATCTTGGTATCACACCTATATCAGTGTGACCACCAGATTTGCACAGCACCAGCAGAGTAGTCTAGCAAAGCTTTAGAGTCTTCTCCCTTTCGAGCTGTCAGCCTTTCCAGTGAAGGAAACTCCTTGACCACAACACAGTTCAGTGTAAAGCGTTTTATTGCTTCAAGACACAAGACGATTCAAACACACTATATACATAAAGTTAAGAGATGCTCGTGCATCATAAACTATGCTATAGTAAGTTGGTCTTAGAAATTAAACTGAAGAGATTCAACTATACAAAGAGGTCCACATTTGAGGAGAGATGCACCACTGCCTTTTGCTGCTGAATGCAGCCTTGGCTTTATAGCTGGCAATGCACAGACACACATTCTTTGGAGAAAGGGAGATGGAGGAGTCCTGCTAAAGGCCTGTGGCCTTGAACTGTTTCCAGAGGCCCACCACAGCTGGCATCCTAACTCTGAACAGAAATCAGACATGGGGGAAGACGCAAACCAAGCAGTTAGTGCAATTCTGCACATATTTGCAAATTACACCAGCACTCCATTAATCCTCTCCTAAGTAAAGTCAATACAGATTTAGATATTCTAGCCCTCCAAAGAAAAGCAGTCCTAAAAATAAAAAAGGAACTATTCTTCACAAAGTCCACAATGGTTTTTCTGGGGTGGGGGCTTACTAACTGGCACATCTGTTCATAGTGAAAGGACGTGTCCAAGTGGGATGTGGAGTAAAGAATCATTAACTTAACTGTTGTTGTTGTTTTTCAAAAATACACCCTTCGTTTAATCCAGGAGTGGGGAACCTGTGACCCTCTAGATGTTGCTGGACTCCACTCCCACCATTCCTGCACATTGACCAGTGGCTGGGGCTGATGGGAGTTGAAGTCCTGCCACATCTGAACAGGTTCTTCACCCCTCTGTCTCCTCTCTGTGAATAGGACTGACCAGGTAGCGAGGTCTTCTAGGAAAGCCATGGTGGATCCAGTGAAGAATGCTGGGTTCAATTATTCTACTACTCTTCTCTAGAGAGGAATAGAATCTATAATCATCCCATATGAAGCCAACATGGATTAAGTGGGCATGTTATCATTGTAGAGAACATCCCCTTTCATTCTTGAGTGCTGGGTGGGTTTGATGGAGGCCTAGCTCTGCACTGTTAACGTCTTTTTTCCAGAACAACCAAAAGATCGCCAGAGAGCTCGCAACATGCCCCTACAACGCCCGTCACAGAGTTCCAAAGCAGGAGTTAAAATTGCACATTGCAACTTGTGAGAACAAAGTTTCTCCAGAGGTCTTGGAGGGTAAGAGAATTGCTCCTGTCTGCTCTAAAACCCAGTAGAGCATGCTGTGTGTATAATATTGGTGCTGCTGGTGTAAGAAAACTTAATAACTTGCTATCTGTAGCAAAGCTCTGGGCACTCTAGGCTGGAGATACATGCTCTGATTGCACTGCATACTGAGCATTCAACTGGTTGTAAAAGCTGGGCTGAAAGAAGTAATGAATGGATTATACTGAGCAGGGTGGGTGTAATAAGCAGTATTCAGGTGGGGGGAGTGACTTGGCTGAGTGCCAGTCCATTTTCCTGAAGTGTGTGATGTAATGGAAGATGGGATTAAAATTCAAAACTAACTTGATTGAAGTACTTACTGGTCAAACAAGTGAAGGGAGAAGTGCTGTAAGGTAAGGATCTAGGCATTATGTCAAACTATAAAACAGGAGGATGCAATCTATACATGAAGTAAAGGCAGGCCTGTAGAACTACATTACAAAATTGAAAAAGAATGAATATTGAAGGATGTCTGTGTTTCAGTTCATGTAGCATTTTTGAAAGTGCAAATTGGGTAGATTTGCCTTGAAATTCAAACTGAATTGAATTTATCACCATTCCCTAGCCGGAAGGAGCAGCCTTTATGAATGTGGGGAACAGGTATGTTCCAGCTTAAAACTCTAGTACAGTGGTGCCCCGCAAGACGAATGCCTCGCAAAACGGAAAACCCGCTAGACGAAAGGGTTTTCCGTTTTGGAGGTGCTTCGCAAAACGAATTTCCTATGTGCTTGCTTCGCAAGACGAAAATGTCTTGCGAGTTCCTGCGGGGTTTTTTTCCTTCCCCCCCCCTTTTTCCCAAGCCGCTAAACCGCTTATCAGCTGATGGCTAAGCCGCTTATCAGCTGATCTTTAAGCCGCTTAACAGCTGATGCTAAGCCGCTTATCAGCTGATCTTTAAGCCGCTTAACAGCTGATGCTAAGCCGCTTATCAGCTGCCTTTAAGCCGCTTAACAGCTGATGCTAAGCCGCTTATCAGCTGATGGCTAAGCCGCTTAACAGCTGATGCTAAGCCGCTTATCAGCTGATCTTTAAGCCGCTTAACAGCTGATGCTAAGCCGCTTATCAGCTGATCTTTAAGCCGGCTAAGCCGCTAAGACTGTAGCGCTAAGCCGCTAAACCTCTAATGGGCTTGCTTCGCAAGACGAAAAAACCCGCAAGACGAAAAAACCCGCAAGACGAAGAGACTCGCGGAACGGATTCTTTTCGTCTTGCGAGGCACCACTGTATACAATGTAAACCATCCACTAAAAATGGTTGTTTATACTTGATAGCCTAAAATAAAACTTCATATATGAAAACTGGGATATTTTGGTGGTGATAGCTATACACACAAACCACTGGTATAGCCATAACTTGCTGTAGCCCTGTTCATGCATTCAAAAGAGCCGGTGAGGGTTTAACTTGGAGAGGGGCACCAGGCATCTTTACCCCAGGCTTGGGCCCTAGGTTATGGGTGCCCAGTGGTGCATGACGTCATGACATCACATGCAGCGTGATGTCATGTTACATGCACACGCCCCGGCCTGGGAACCTGACTTCCAGTGCCACTGGAAGCCAGGTTACAAAGCCTCTGAAATGCTGTTTGAGGCCTTGCGTGACCTCGGAAGTTGCGTCAGGGGCCCTGAAGTATGGGTGCTAAGCACCCACAACTAAAAATTTGTGGGTGCTCAGGCAACCAGAGCCCCCTATAGTTGGCAACCCTGACCCCAGGTATGCTCACTCCACCCCTGGCCTCCCCATGTTTAAGCAGGAAAGTCTGAAAAGATGCACCTGATGTGAACACACAAACACAATATCAAAGCATGGAGCAGCCATCTCTGAAACTAGAACTAACTTCCAAAACCAAGATGCCTTAACCTTTTTCTTTTCTTAATACTTTGACAGTTACTTCAAGCAGAGGTGATCCAAAGAACAGAATCAGAGAGGTGACAGCCTGGCAGTGCCCCCCTCCAGAAGAAGACTGGGAGGCTGGTGAGTTGTTGTTGTTTTTCTTCCACTTGTGCAAAAACACACTTTCCGGGTTGCACCACACCCTGCCTGAATTTGAGTGTGCTTGGCTTACTAAAAGAAAGCTGCATTTAGAATATTCCCCTCCCCCCCCAACCTTCTAACATGCTTAACCTGGAGGCACCAGCTTGGCTCTTTTGTAAGGAACTGGGCCTCTTTGGCAGAATTATCATGCATGAAGAAGCCCTGCTGAATCGGACAAAGTGTCTAGCATCCTATTTCAAACAGCGGCCTGCTAGATGCTGCCGGAAATGATGACAATGGCACCTCATCCAGTGTCTGTCCCATGTTCTGTCTCAGAACATGAAAGTTTACCAGAGGAAGAAATTGAAAAGTTCATTGTCCTGGTCAGATTGTTCCGAATTATTCTAGTGACCTGCTGCTGAGGAGGCAGAATGCATAGCTTCTTGTAACTTTTATTAAAGCATTGGAGCAGTTTATTACATAAGGGCAATACTATAACAAGACGGCCCCTGGTCCATGGGCTTGCAATCAAAATGAAACAAGTTATAAGGAAATACATGTGGACTCCAGAGGAAAACAAATAATATAATCTCAGGCTTAAATTTTTACCGTATAGCATAAAGGTAAAGGGACCCCTGACCGTTAGGTCCAGTCACGGACGACTCTGGGGTTGCGGCACTCATCTCACTTTAATGGCCGAGGGAGCCGGTGTACAGCTTCCAGGTCATGTGGCCAGCATGACTAAGCCACTTCTGGCAAACTAGAGCAGCGCACGGAAACACATCGTAATTATTAAATGACCAGCTGGAATCAAAATGGTTATTGGAAAGAGGGTCTCAACAGGGCTGGCCTCCCCAAAGAGCTTAATAGGAGTAGCCCTGTTTTCAATGTCTGCTCTGGTACAGCCTAAGAACTGAAGTCTAATTTTGTTTTCTTCTGTCCTCCCCATTACCTTGTTAATCGCAGTATAGTACCTGCAAAAATGTAGCTGATTTATAAATAGAATAATGCTGAAGTAAGGGCAAATGAGGGTGTTACAGATTTGCTCTGGGACTGCAAATGGTTGTAACTTTTCTTCAAGGAAACAATTCATACAGGTATTCCAAAGAACATCAGGAAAACCCCACTGCTCTGAAGTGTCACTTGATCCAATTTAGACTCTCCTGAAAGCCCATCCAATCTGGAGTCTGAGTACTCCTGTAATATGCGAGTGACTATGGCAAGGGGGATGAAGTGCCCCGTTATGAGAACTCTGCCTAATGATTTTGTTACTCTCTCCTAAGATGCTGCTGAATATCCTGCTCCTCCTTTTGTTTTTGGCACCAGGTAAGACTACACAGGTTCCTTTGTCGCCTCATGAAAATCTAATTGTATTCAGAGCCTGGCTAGCAAGCACCATGGATACAAATGCCAATGGAGCAAAAATGCCAACAAAGAGGATATCCCCCTCTAACCTCTGGAGGCACTTCTTAAGACGCATTCACTTCCAAGAGTAAATAATCACCACTCACTTTTGCTATTCATAAAATAGGAATCTACTCAAGTAACTTTGCTGTTGTGCCTATTTCCCACTTGGCAGCATTGGGAAAGTCAATGTAATAGCCATCGTATGTTCTTAGACAGGCTTCCTCATCCTCAGCCTTCCAGATGTTTTGAGACTACAATTCCCATCATCCCTGACCACTGGTCTTGCTAGCTAGGGATCATGGGAGTTGTAGGCCAACAACATCTGGAGGGCTGAGGTTGAGGAAGCCTGTTAGACTTCAACTCCCATTGGTCCCAGCCAACATAACCAAAGGTCATCACCCAAAGGGGTGATGTGAGTTCTAGTACTACAACAATTTGGAGGACACCACATTGGCTACATTTGCTTTAACACATAGGTGGGCTGATGTTACTTTTTACACACTGTCATGCTGTAGTACAAACCTAAAAGACATTTATTACTGGAAATTTATCAGTTCAGCTCTCAAATATATTTCATCAGTGGCTTTGCTCTCTGACAGAACTGGCTTTTGTGACTATATTTAACACTTATCTTGCCTCTCCATACACTGAAGAGGACTTGTTATTTTAAGATGAAGAACACTCGTTCTTTTAAAATAAATGACTAAGGACACTATACACATAAGCCATGGAAATGTTTAAATGGTTAGCTGGGGAACTTTGACAGCGTTAGTTACTGAACACAGACTCGTAAACAGATGTGCAACTTTAGACACATAAACACAGAATTTCACCTACAGAGAACAGCAACAATCAGTATGTTTTTACCCCTTTCCAGCTCCGCAATTAGAGGTGCTTCCATAGTAATCCCTGTCTATGGAACTGCTGCCTTTTGTTTACTTTTTTGAACAGAGGATCCACTTCACCAATTGTACAGTGGTACATCTAGATGCAAATGGGATCCGTTCCAGAGCCCCGTTCGCATCTAGAAGCAAACTTAACCCGTGTATGCGCGTTTGCGCGTGCCACGTTTCGGCGCTTCTGCACATGCACGTGACATCATTTTGAGCGTCTGCACATGCGCAAGCGGCGAAACCCGGAAGTAACGCGCTCTGTTACTTCCGGGTTGCCAGGGAGCGCAACTTGAACACGCTCATCCCGAAGCACATTCAACCCGAGGTATGACTGTAGTTGCATTCCAGTGTTCTTTTGTTGTCCCCTGCATGGTTCCTCCATCTCTCAAACCTGATTTGTGGTCACTTTTTATGGTAGTTGGATTAGCTAGTGTTGCAATGTGGACGGGTAAAGTTCTGTTAAGGCTTTCCCAGTCCACAGTGCCTTTATCTGAAAGCTGCTGCTTTGTAAGTTCTGGCCATTTCATTGCTTCCTCCTCCCACAGCCTGGAGGATTACAGGTAGAATGCTTCTCAGTACCCCAAATGTCAATTCCTGTTTATGCAGGAGGAGTGTAAGACTTTTTTATGCAAGGGAAATAAATAATGCCCCAACTCTTATCCTGCTCACCCCAAATTCTAACCCCCTGCTTGCAGGAATTGCGTGCCACTAACCCTGGGGATGATTGCAGAAATAGAACTTTGGATCTATTTTGAGAGACTTGGATTTATGAGATTGCTGAGACTCCTAACCTCTCCCCCTCCCAATGAGCTGGCAAATTTACAGCACCTGCTTATCTAGTTCACACCATTGTCCAAGGCCAGTCTAAAACTCCAGCAGTTAAAGTAACATTGTTCAGCTGTGCCTTCATAAGACTCTCCACTGGGGCTGGGCGATATCTGGTTTTCAACATCACAATATATCACCAGCTAAATATCCCGATATCTCACAATATATATTTGCGGCGACAGAGGGCCTTGCTGTGCCTCCCCACGGTGGCAGAGGGTCCTGCCGTACCTCCTCACAGCGGCCGAGGGCCTTGCCGAGGCTCCCTGCAGTGGTGGAGGGCCTTAAAATGGAAGGAAGTAGTAGATTTAATAAAAATAATAAATAAACTTCCATATAATAAGTTTAATATTTTCAACTAATCCTAAAGCCCCACTGAGTTCAACTAAACTTACCATATTTTTTGCCCTATAGGACGCACTTTTTCCCCTCCAAAAATGAAGGGGAAATGTGTGTGCGTGCTATGGGGCGAATGCAGGCTTTCCCGGGCTTCCTGCAGCTCTGCGCCACCCTCCGGAGCCCGGCACGAAGCTGCGCCAGGCTCCGGAGGGTCGTGCAGAGCTGCCTGCATTCTGAAGCCTGGTGCGCGCTGAAGAGCGCGCCCGGGCTTCGCGCACCTCTCCGCAAGCCTGGGGAGACCGGCGCGGCTCCCTAGGCTTGCGGATAGCAGGCTGTTCTAGGGGCTGGGGTCGGGGGAAGCTCGGGTTTCCCCCGCGCCTGCCCTGTGCCTGGGGGGGAAATGAAAAAAAAATTCTTTATCCCCCCCCCCCAAAAAAATTAGGTGCGTCCTATGGGGCGGTGCGTCCTATGGGGCGAAAAATACGGTACTTCTACTTTCCTGGGAGCAAGCCTCATTGAATTCAGTAGGGCTTGCTTGTGAGTAGAAACACATTTGCTTGCACTGCTTACTGAAAAACACCCTCTCCCATCATCTCACATAGCACCCAACCTCCCATTTCAGCATAAAGCAGCCTGCTAAATCTTCTCCCCCCGCCCAGAAGGGCCCTATCCCACCAATCTCTCCCTTTTTATCAAAGGGAGGGAGGGCAAGCAAGCAGGCAAAAGGACAGTTTCCTTTAAATAATAAAAAAGCCTTCCCTTTTAATATGGAGGAAAGCTATTTAAGGGGAACCAACAACATAAACAGCACCAGAAAACTCTTCCCCCTCTTTTTTTCACTGGTGGGGTGAGTGTGAGGAAAGAAAGAAGTGCTTTCCTTTTCTTTGTTTAGTTCAGTGGGAGGTCTCTCCTGGATTGTCAGCAGGCTCTGCATAATTAGCTGAGCTCTAAATGGAAAGATACCCTGAAAACGAAAGCGTTCACTGCTTTGTGTGAGGGTTTATCCTCAAACAGAACTTTTGTTCCCTGCATATTGCCTTGTTGAAACACTTATCACAATGTTATTTCAATGCCAGTATAGCGATTTATCACACAGCCCTACTCTCCACCCCCTCTTACCATCACCCAACCAGAAATTTTTTTCTGGGGGGACGCAGGGGGACGCATACCCCTAAACATTTTAATAGTCTTTGTACTTTTGTTCATTTACTGTATTTATTTTCCCCGATTTGAACTATAAAATGGTGATTTTCTTGAGTCAAAATGAGAGTACCCCTAAACATCTTTTTTTAGAAGAAGAAAAAAGCACTGGTTACAGCTAAGGAGTGGCTGGCCTGAGACAACGGTGCTGCCAGGCCTCAGAAGGATAAAAAATCCATTTGCCTCAATCCATCAAGCCCCCTTGCTAACTCCTACCTGGCTTCCTGCTTTCGTTTGCTTGTCTGATATTTGGAGTTGGACTCCTTAGCTGTTTCTCGGGGGGAGGGGAATGGTGGTAAAGTATTAAGATTAGGTGAGGCAGATTTATTCTTTTATGATGCCTGCATTATGGGGTGGGTATTTCGCGGGAATGTAGTGCCTGAGACACTTGGAATACCATGTAATATGGGGATTAACAGAGGATCCTGGTGGTGAAGAATGAATTATTGGCTTCAACCCTGGAATCTCCTGATAATTGGGGTTTATTGATTGGTCTTCCCCCAAGCCACCCTAAACCTGGGTGGTCATGGCAGCTTTGGGGGGGGGGGAGGAAGTGGTGGTGGAAGAGAACTGATCTGGGAAACCAGGGGGGAGGGGAGCTTGTTGCAGCAAGAGGTGGAGACACCCTGGCTTCTTCACCAGCCTGACTCATCTCTGCCTCTTGGCCTCGCTCCTCTCCTGCTTCTGGACTTCTCTCTGCCACAGACTCTCCCTGCTCACTAAAGCCCGTTACCTCTTCAGCTTCCAAACACCACCACCTCCCAGTCTTCTTCACCTGACCACTCATTGTCCCACCACCAAAACCCTGGGCTCTGAGCCTTCCTCCCTTAGGGGGTTCCCCAGCTGGTGCCTCACATCATTCCTCTGAGTCCAACCAGTCCATGACAGATCAGGATGGAGTTTACTGTCCCTCCATGACCATCAAATAGGAAAATCTGATTACCAGGGAGGAAACAATTAGCATTCCCAACAGAGCTGTGTCAACCTTTTTTCTTGCTGCCACTGCAGAAATATTTGCAGGGGCAGCGGCTGATCTGGTATCCAGACCAAGTGTTAGCCACCCTTGCCTTGAGCTAAGTGCACCTACTTGGTCAGCTAAATAAAGAAAAGTCCTCTTTGAAAGCTGCAGGATTTGTTTATAATGGGTATGTCCTTTCATTTTCTTTTTCTTTAATATAGCTACTCTGGTGAGAGGAGCTAGACATTTACATCTTCCTTTTTCCTTTTTTGAACTGTAAGTATTTTTTTAAGTACAGTAGAAAACAAGTAAAACTTTGAGGAACTCATCTTCTGGAGTGTTAAACCTGTTCAATTTGGAGAGTGAGAACAGTTGATTAGCCCTTGCTGTGCCTGGATGAGAAATCCTTGTATTAATATCTTGCTCTTATGGGACCCTTCTCCCTTCCAACTTCATCAAACTTGGCACAACTGATGCTACATGGATTCAAGAATGTATTTGGGTACTATAACCAGCTTACTTGTGAGATCGTCTTATCCCATATGTGCTTAATCAACTGCTTTGATCTGCAGTTTTTTGTTTAGATAAGCCTACCCAGCTAGGTGGAATGTTTGCAAGGTGCTTTGATCTGTTGTTAGCTTATCACTGATTTTAATTATTATTTGAATCTTTTAAATAGCTGTTAACTGCTTTTAATGATGTGACTTTATTCTTGTTGTGAACCATTTTGAGGTGCTTACAATTACATTTTATGAATTTTTTTTTTGTCCTTCTCTCCAGAGGCTCTCCTATATTTTATCAGCTCTGGAAATCTACTGCAAAGGTTTGCGGACCATCCTAATCTACCAATGGCAAAAAAATATTCAAAATGTCACTGCAAGATCACCACAGGGATTCTCCAGAAGGAGCAACAGAATACATACCTTTTTAAAATGCAGAAATGCTTTTAGAAATACTTTTCCAATAAAATTTCTATAAATCCAGTTGCCTACAATTTCCCCCTTATTCTCTTCCTCCAAGTGGCTAAGCATGCAAGCATGGTCCTTTTATCCTCACAATGGCTCCATGATATTTGGAGTGACTGGCCCAAGGCCATCTAGTGAGCTTCATACATGCATGAGATTTGAACTTTTCTCACTGGTCCTAAGTTCAACACTCTAACCCAGGGGTCAGTAAACTTTTTCAGCAGGGGGCCGGTCCACTGTCCCTCAGACCTTGTGGGGGGCCGGACTAAATTGGGGGGGGGGAATGAACGAATTCCTATGCCCCACAAATAACCCAGAGATACATTTTAAATAAAAGCACACCTTCTACTCATGTAAAAACACCAGTCAGGCCCCACAAACAACCCAGAGATGCATTTTAAACAAAGGGACACCTATTCATGTAAAAACACGCTGATTCCCAGACCGTCCGCAGGCCGAATTTACAAGGTGATTGGGCTGGATCTGGCCCCCAGGGCCTTAGTTTGCCTACCCATACTCTAACCAATATACCACATTATTCTGGGACCCCTGACCATTAGGTCCAGTCGTGACCGACTCTGAGGTTGCCGCGCTCATCTTGCTTTATTGGCCGAGGGAGCCGGCGTACAGCTGGTCATGTGGCCAGCATGACTAAGCCGCTTCTGGCGAACCAGAGCAGCGCACGGAAACGCCGGTTACTTTCCCGCCGGAGCGGTACCTATTTATCTACTTGCACTTTGACGTGCTTTCGAACTGCTAGGTTGGCAGGAGCAGGGATCGAGCAACGGGAGCTCACCCCATCGCAGGGATTCAAACCGCGACCCCTGATCACTCACTTTCCAATAGAGGTCTATGTATTTCACAAAGTGGAATGAATTCTCAAAGTGGTAATCCCCAACAGCAGGAAGCAGTATGAGAATGACCTAAAACAGGCATGTCCAACAAGTAGGGTGTGATCTACGATCCAATATAAAAACTGGCAGTGATCTATCACCCAGGGATGGGTGTAGGGTGGGCGGGTGCACACCACCAGCTGCTCCCAATGGGTGCAGGGATGGGTACAGGGTGGGCAGGTGGGCGCTGGCTGCTTCCCCCGAAGGGGCAGGGGGGGCAGGCAATGCCGATCCTGCCTCTCTCCTCAAACCAGCTGGGCTGCAGAGCTTTTTTTGTGCTTTGGAGCCGCTGTCTTTCTGCTTCTTGAGGAGCGTGCTGTGCTCGGGGTGCCTTGGGCCGACCATCGACCAAGATCAACCCCCTGATCGACTGATCAATCAGGATCGACGGGTTGGACATGTCTTACCTAAAAGATTTGCAAGAATTGCTTGAGGCAGGCTAGAGAACTCCTGCCTTTTTCATTAAGTGCAATCAAGAGTAAGCCAAGACACATTTTAGAGATCTGTGATAGTTTGCAGTGACCTAGTACCTTTAAATACTTGGTATCTAGAAAGAGTCAGACTGTCATGACAAGCTGGGTATGGACCAAAGGAAAGACATACATGGGGCAAGCAGCCCTGGAATATACAATGGATCGGATTCAGCTAAGTAGTTGCACTAGCAGGAACCAGCACCAAACCTGCTAGCTTAATGAGACTTGCTTTCCAAATCATTTCTGGGGGTGCGGATAAGGGGAAAGGGGGGATCATTTTGTCAGGCAAGCAAAAATGCTTGTGCTAATGGAAAATTTGTGTTAGTGCAACACTGAACTCCTCCCAATATGTTTCTGTTAATCTAATCCAGCCTTGATGGGTGATTGCAGAGGAAAAGCTTGGGTCTGTATAACTAACCTTTTTCATAGCACAGAAACACTGAGGTGCTAACCACAAGAGGATAAGGAAGACATCTGTCCGAATAATTTAGTTGATGATGAAGCTGTAATGAAGTTGGGAGGTGGTATCTGATTGAGACAAGTGGAACTTGTAAGGGCACCAATTTGTGCTGTCCCTTAGAAAAACAGAGGAAACAAGTGTATGAAATTTCTTCACCCTGAAAACCTAAATAGCACACACAATGCTCATCCCCAATCTCCATCCCAAGATAATGTAAGAGAAAGGACCACTGGATCCTGGTAGTGATGAAGTGCTTTGCAACTGAAGCTGTGTCCACACTGAGACATTAATGTGGGCATGGGTCACTGTTTCAGTGTGCATGCTTGTGCACCTTCACACGAGTGCCTTCAACTGTGCGCCACCAAAATATGTTTCCCATTCTCCCACCGCAGTGGGATGCATTTGTTCTTCACCCCTCAATGAATGGTGTTATAGAAATAGGGGGGATCCACCTAAACACTAAGACCAAATAAATACTAGGATTTTGATTGAATGTGATATGGATTAAAGTACAAAACTGTGTCAGACAGGGAATTCGGGATATTCCTGGGCTGCTGTATGCAAACCAGCCTGGCTGGTTAGGGGAAGAGCAGACCTGTTAGCATTACAAAAAGGTGTTGATGGGCCATAGAAAGATTCTTTGTCACAAAGGTTGCTGGGGTAACTGTGTGTTTGAGGGACAGGAAAAGGGAGATTTGAAACAAGGGTTTCTGAACAGAAGAAGGAGGAAGTAAGGGGGGATCCATTTTGGAGGAAAGTTCCTTGCACTTCTGTGAGCCATGCTGTAAGATCTGGACTCCATCCATGCAGACTGTAAATAGGTGACTAAACCCTATTTTTTAAAGCACGCCAGTCTCAGACATGTCTTCTATTCTCCAAAGGACACAAACTCTGTGTGTGTACCTGTGGCCTCATGAAATCTGGCCACTGCTTGGGGGAGAAAGGGGCAGGCCTTTGTAAGAGTACTTTCCTGTTCCAGAAACCCAAAGTCCATTATGTGCATAGGCATTTGTTTACCTGTTCATATACCAGATTTGCACAAAAGAACAGTAAAAAACCTTTAAAGCTATGTATACCTCCAAACCAGGAAACCTGAGGTCCATTGTGGGCATGTATTTGGGCCTTAAGGCAGTCAAAAACCTGCTGCTTCCTTTCCTGCCTGCTGCACTTGCAAGGGCAAATTTTAATTTTCAATACATTTTGTGAAAAAGAAGTTCTGCACAAAATAGCTGCTTTACGAATAAAAATAGTAAGAATGTACCTTCAGCAACAGCAGGTGAGAAAAGGGCAGGCTGCATCCTTTCTTTTGGGCTGATGGAAACAAAATAGAAGTAGGGGATATGACACTCAGAAGGCACCCAGAAAAATGTCACCACATGGGGACGGGGAGTCACCCACACAATTTGCTTCAGTGCATCCAGTCATGCAACATGCAATTTTATATTGGATTTTCTTCCCTTACATGATTATCTGTGGATCAGAAAAACCTGAATTTAATGAGGGAAGTGCAGACTGTCAATTGGATGAGGGTGTCATATGGGTGCTGCAAAGAGACTAGCAGCTTCAAATCCACATTAAACTGCATTGAGCATGAGTGCTTAGAATTATTTAGCTTTTAACCCATTCAAAGTATTCGTGTTAGAATGAAGATGTTTAGGAGAGATTGTATGTACTGTATTCAGTAGGACTTCAGACTTCAGATATGTTCACATTACCACCTACTCTGTGCCCAGTGCTAGTTTTGGAAGCTGCATTCACACAACTTTAGCCGTTATCCATATTGATCCTATAGTTTGACCAATACTGCCATTTCTCAAACCAGCCTCAATTTAACATTAAACTGCATTCACTTCACAAAAGTTTGAGACAGCTGCAGCACATACACACATGTGCAGGTAACAATAGAAGTTGGGGTGGTTGCAGGGGGAAGGATCAAAAAGGTCATTTATGTTAGATGAAGACATTCCCCACCATGCAAAGACAGTATGAAATGCACTGTGGGGGTGTGTGACTTTGATGCATACTCTTAATTAAGATTTAATTAAGTCTAAATTCACCCATTCAGTCTTGAGAACAGAAGACTTTCACCAGACTCAGCCACCAAATTCTTCCCTGTCACACCCCCATCGCACCTACGGTCCCAATTCTACTGCTGCTGCTGCTTCCATTTATCACGTAAAAACTACCTTCTAACATCACACTTTTGTCTTTGAACCAGTCACTTTTTTAGACTCAAAAGCACAACAAAAATCCCAGCAGCTTGTTCCAAGTTGCCTTTTTAGCTGCAAGTCCCAACTACTTCCCATCCAAAATTGTGTTAGGTCTTGCATCCAGTTCTTGGCTATCTGAGAATTTAGAAACTGGGTGAGAATCTGCCAAACCTCTAGACAACACTCCCACCATGTGGCCAGAGGAAACTGTTTGTCATTGATTAATCAAATGTGAGTGGTCAATCTAATTCAACAACTCTCTAAAGTAAAAGACTTTTGTTTAAATGTGATTCTTCTTACAAAGTCCTCCTGTCTATGAGGCATTTGCATTTTTAAATTGCACCACCAGCAGGCTCTCTGCAAGAGAGAGTGAGCATTCTTAAAACCAGTGAAGTGGAAAAGAGGAAAATTACTGAATGCTGACAGCAACCCCCCTGTAATTTTACTTTGACATACGCCTGTCAAGGTTCTTTCCCCTGTTCCAGATTTTATTGAATTGCAACACAAGTCTGAGAGAAAGTGCACCACAGCAAGAGAGCAATTCACTCTCCACAGCCGATCTTTTCATTTGCTCAGGGGATTTATCTGTAACCTTGAGAAGGTCAAAACAATAGCTCAAGAACAGCAAAAGCATTTTCACTTTTTGTAGGGCTGCCGAACGATCTCATTTTCTTACCTACCCTCCTTTGCCCAATGACCAAATCTCATGGCTGTACTTTTGTTCAGATTAAACATCTCTCACACGCTCCTTCACTGGTAACAGCACCTTAAGAAACCTGAAATATAGAAAGGAACTCAACACCACCCTAAGGTAATTTCTCTCTCCGGACAAGCATTTCAGCTTACCAGATGGAAACATCCTTCCCCTGCCTGCTGTTCTGGGGGCTCTCCTGACCCCCTCAGAGCCAATTTCAGGAGGCGTGGAGGGAAGCCTCAATGTGCCATTAAAAGCTCTTGCACAGGGCTTCTACTAACAGGACTC